CTATTGTCCTTCTCTGGTTGATATCAAAATTCTATTTGCCTCATAAAATGTATTGGGAAGCGTTCCCTTTTTTTCTATTCTATTGTTTGTATAAAGAAGAGATCAATCAGTTCTTCAATGTTTAGTAGAAGTTGTCCTCTAAAGCTGGAATAGTTTTTGAGGGTAGGGTTTTAACTATTGATGCCATTTTCCAGGCATCTAAGTCTAGTCAGTTATTTCTTTTTCTTTTTTTCTGGATGTTCTATATGATATATTTCTAGAAAATTGTACCTACTGTCAAAGACTTCAAATTTACTGGCATAAGGTTGTTCATTTTAAAATCTCTAATGTCTGTAGTTATGCTGATATTCATCATCATTGCTGATATTCTTTATCAGTGTCTTTTATCTGGCTTTCTTGATCAGTCTTGCCAAGGGTTTGTCTATTTTATTAGTCTAGTCAAAGAGCCACCTTTCTGTTGAATTGGTCTTCCATTGTATCTATGTTTTCCTTCCTTCCTTCTCTCCCTCCTTCGTTCCTTCCTTTCTCTTTCCTTCCTTCCCTCCTTCTCTCCTTCCTTCGTTCCTTCCTTTTTTCCTTTCCTTCTATCCCTCCTTCCTTCCTTCTTTCTTTTTTTCAAAGAAGAAGAGAGGGTCTTGCTCTGTCACCTAGCCTAGAGTGCAGTTGGTGCAATCATAGCTCATGGCAGCCTCAAACTCCTGGGTTTAAGCAGTCCTTCCACCTCAGCCTCCAAAGCAGCTAGGACTACAGGTGCATGCCATCACACTGGCTAATTGTTTTATTTTTCTGTAGAGACAGGGTCTTGTTATGCTGCCCAGGCTGGTATATCTGTTTTTTATTTCATTAATTTCTGCTCTTATCTTTACTGTTTCCTTTATTTAATTAATTAATTGCCTACTATCTGTTCCATGTTTTAAAATCTTCCACATTTTTAAATATGTTCTAAAATTGGTTGATTCAGGATTCTTTATATGACCATTGCATCCACTTTGCTCACTGTATTGTTTGAATCTACTATATGTTTTATCTGCTTGATTTATCCATAACCGAAACAGAAAATCTCCCTGTATAACCTTGAATTTATCAATTTATCTTTGTAAGCCTATTATATTCTGTTTTATATATTTAGAGGATATATTATCAGCTCTAGGTAATTTTTGAATTGCCACATTATCTGGGTAAATTGCTCCTCTTATCAATATATCGTGACTTTCTTTATAATAATGCTTTTCAACTTAAAGTCAGTTGACTGACTTCAGCTTTCTTTTCATTAGTATTAGTGTTGTGTATCTTTTTTCAAGCTTTTTCTTTTAAATTTTCTCAGTGTCTTTAGACATGTTTTAGACGTAGCTCAATTTTTAAAAGTCAATCTGACAATCCCTAGTGAGTCTAGTAAACTTATGTTTATTGTGATTCTGTCATCTTACGTGTGCTTGTTACAGCTTGTTCTATGCTTCTCTTTTTGTCTTGATTGAACTTTTATTCTTGTTTTATTTTCTGTTTGGAACTTATAAATTGTATTTCTGGCCTTTGGAGCTTACATTTACAATGTCTACATGTATTCTTAAGAGTTTAAAGTTATTATCTCTGCCTTTCTTGTAGATAATATATAGAATGCTTTAACTCCAATCTCCAACCCCACACACACACCCCCCCATACAGAGTACTATTTTCTAGTATTTTATTGTTATTTTGTTTTTATGCCCATCTGATTAACATTATTATTATTACTGCTTTATATTATCAATGATCACTTAGATTTTCACACTGTACCAATTTCTTGGAGCATCATTCCTTCACACATTTCACTCCTTCCTTCTTGGTTCACTTTCCTTCTTACATCTTTTAGTAGTTGTTTCAGTAAGAATCTATTAGAAACTTTCTTATTTTCTTGATAGAATATCTATTTATCCTTCACTTTTGAAGGATAGCTTGGCTGGTAGAGAATTCCAGGTAGATAGTTCTTTTTTCTTATCATTTTAAAGACATTTTTTTTTTTTTCAATTATCTTCTGGCTTTCATTGTGCTGTTGAGAAGTGTATTGTCTGTCTTCAGAGTGTCTTTTCCCTTGGTTGTTCTGAAAATGTTTTCTTTGTCTTGCTGTTTTGACAAGTTATACCTACTCATGTACACTATGACATGAGCAGGTAAAACTTTAGCTTATTTATAATACTTTCAGGGCTCATTGTGTTTCCTGAATAAGAAAATTAAATATTTTCATCAATTCTAGAATTGATAAAAAGCATATTTTCCTTATCTGAAATATTTATTAGATATATATTAGAATTTCTCTTTATATTCATCTCTTTATCTCTCTCTTCTGAATTCTAGGTAATTTCTTCCAATCTATTTTCCATTTCACCAATTCTCTCTTTGTCTATGTCTAATTTGTTATTTAACCTATCCATTAAGTTTTTTATGTCAGTGATTGTTTTTAATTTCTAGACTTTCTACTCTGTTTAAATCTGTTTGGTTCATTTTTTAAAATTTTTGAAATGACTAAATCTATTATATTATTTTATTTATTTTTCATATGCTTATCATTTAAAGTATAGTCATTTATATATTTATATTTTTATTATAATATTTTATAATATTTATATATACATTCTTCATATGCATATCATTTAAAGTATAATCACTTATATATTATCATTTTTAATGATATGTTTATCATTTATATCTTTATCACATAGTTTTAATATTGAAAGTTCTCGTGGGAAATGATCTTGCTACTTGTTGACTATCCTAATCTATCACAAGGTGGGTTATATCTTCATTTGTTTTGTAATTTTAGATTATGAGCTCATGTTCATTAGGATTTTAACTATAGGAATCCTGCTGGGCATAGGCTGGAGACATATTAATCCAGAGAAGGTTGAGGCTTGTTTTGATCTTGCTTCTGCCAGATATTCCAAGGTTATTACTTGCTCAGCAGTAATGTTATTTGACCCTTCAACTTGGAAGTTCCAAGAACATGCAGGTATTATAAATTCAAACTCTAAACCTGATCCAAGATAGGCCCATGTTTACTAATTCGCAAGAGAGACTATAAATCTTTCTCCCAGTTTCCAAACTGAGACAGACACCATTCTTTGTCACCTCTATATAAGAATGTATTCTTTCCAAACTACCCTTTTACCAAGTGACTAGCCTTTCAAGGGTTCTGACCTTTTGCTAGGGATAACTCAGATCCAACTCCCTGCCTGGATAATCCCAAGACTTCATCTCCTTTCCTTGTATGGGCTTTAAAACTCTAGCCACTAAGTTGCCAAGACAAGCAACACCCCCACCACAGGGCTATTTATATGCTTACCACTCTGATCCTCAATCCCGCTTTATTTTTGCTCCTTTCATTCTTATAAAATTAGCTCTACATTAAAAATCACCTTTATTACATTTCATCCGGTGTTCCTAGTAGTTTAAGTGGTGTGGTTTTCAGGGTATCTAGACTACCAGATTGCTAGAAAGTGAAGTTTCCAAAGTTCTTACCTTTCTGTGCCTTTTCTTTTGATTATATAAGGGAGACAGCTGAATTAGCTACTGCTATTTTTAAACGATTTCTTATAGTTTCTCATTATCGGTGAGGAAGGTAGGAACACCATCAACTGAAGCTTTCTACAAGTAGTCATCATCTTGTATTAGAATGAGAAAGGGTAGATGATAATGGGAAGTAAGAGGCCACTAAAGTTATGAGGGATTATGAAGAGATATTGTATGTAATGAATATCTTGAATTGAAAACCAATAATATCTTGAATTCAAATGCTAGAAAGGCCCCTGTAATCAATATCTATACTGTACAACATAGAAAGTATAAACTCATTATGATTTGTCCCCCCAAAAAGGTATAATTTAAACAAATTAAACATAAACACAATGAAGAAATCAAATGGTTTCTAGAAATAGAAAATCTTTCTGGTGCTGTTTCTTATAGATCTACTTTTTTAAGTGAAAAAGAAGGAAGAAGTTATCTTTCAAGAAGATTCTAAAAGAAGAAAAAAATGCTGACCATCTTAGTAGTTAGAAAACATATTGCCCCAGGCAGGGTAATAAATAGTTTCTAATCAGAAAAACCAAAGAAAAGATTACCATGGAACACTTAACATGACAGAATGGACCCAAGTTGGTAAGAAAGAGGACAAGAATGCTTTAAATAGAATGAAAGCCTTAGTATAAAATTAGATTTTTATGAGGAAAATAAAGGGCTTATAGAAATGGACAACATGAATAAGAGACATTCTGAATGTTCAAGAGAGAACAACAGAAACAGAGACCCATTGAAAACAAGCTTGGAAAATTTGGAAATTGAAAGGGTAACATTTGCACATTGTTCTTAAGGACAGAAATGCTCCCAATTTGCCCTGCCTACTGCTTTTCCATTAGGACAGCATCTACCAGCTCCAACAAGGCTGCTACTGCCACTGGGCCAGCAGTACTTTTCCACTTTCTCGGTAGTGGGCCAGGGTTGCTACAGATAATGCAATAGAGAAACCATTATTAAGACAAGATGACAAAAGATGAGATTCCAATCTCAGAGGCCAAGAACCCAGACCTGAAAAGACAGACACATGATGAGAATTAAGGAGCCCTTCAAAGGCTTTTACAAATGACAAGCTGATATTCTTCTACTCTGGGTATAAAAATGATACGTAGAGATGTCTTACCCCCCAGTCATGGGATGGTGAACTTGAAAAGGACCTTAAGAGGTCCTGTCAACCATTAGCTCTTTTCATTAAAAATACCACTTCTGTTCTAACCACATGACCCTCAGTTCTCCAAATCTGCATATGTGCATATTTTAGACATTTTGTGTGTGTGTGTGTGTGTGTGTGTGTTTAAAGTGTTTCCTTACCATGGTATTTATTAGATCTCAGTAGTATTACTCATTTTTAACTATATGAAAGCAACTGACCTAAAAGGGACTTGAAACTGATTCAAAAGAATATATTTTTTCCAGTTTTCAGTTTCACAGGAACACGCATATGGAAGCTTGCTTACCTTAGTGAAAGCTCGGTAACATAAGCCACACAGCTCCACCAGGTAGGCCAGAGTGAAGACGGCATTCTGAATTACAAAGCTGAGCAGTTTTGAAAATGGTTCCAACAAACTCTGCAATGAGATTGGGGCCAAATAAAGTCAATTGCTGATTATTTCATTTAAAAAAGTATTAAAATCTTATGATACTTTAACTAATGGAATCACTGTTTTTTAAATTGAAAAATCTATTGCCAGATGGCTCCTGTAGCAACCCCATTGGTCTAATAAAAACAGAACTGCACCTTCAGTCGAGGGCTCAAAGAGCAGGATCAAATCATTTCACTGCTCAAAAAGACATTCATTTTTCCATGTGGTATCATTTACAAACCTTCCTAACTTCAACCCTGTCTTCATGTCCACCCTAAGCAATCAAGAGTGTGGGGTTGGCAGTTGGATCTTCCATTTTATTTTCAGCACATTTAAGTGTTTATGAGTTCATCATATTCAGATCCGGAAGCCTGTCTTCTGGGTTAAGTAGCGCAAAGCACCCTTGCGTGTAAGTACCAAAGTACTATAGCTTATATAAAATTCATCACAACCCAGCCTTCTGCCAACGGTTATCAGGAAGGCATAGTCTGTTTCGGTTTCTCCCCCTGAATCTTACCCATAAAGGATCAGTTTTAGTTCCATATACTTTCTTAAGTTATTTAGAAACATTTGTTGAGTACCTACTGAGTGTCAGACTGTTAGATGGATGATTTCATATAGTTTATCTTATGCAAATTTTTCATAACTATCCTGGGAGACAGTGTGTTACAATATAGGTAACGACACAAGCACTAAATTCTGACACAAGGGTTTTCACACTCTAGCTCACTGTGACCTTGAATAAGTGATTTAATCTCTCTGGAACTTGGTTTTCTCCTCTGTAAAAGGGGAATAATAATGGCTTCCACCTCATTAGGGTGCAAGTTATGAGAATTAAAAGAGATAATATATGTAAAGCACTTGGCACCAGTAAGCTCTCCATCATTGTTAGCTATGGTCTTCATTATTAACCTTCTGAAGCTTTAGTATCCATTCCTATTCTGCAGCTTAGGCAGTTAAGTAGACAAGTAATTTGCCTAAGGCCATGAAGGTATCAGGTGGAATTCAAAGCCAAGTTCCAGGGCAATTTTCCACAGGTAGAATTGCTCTGCAGAGAAGATAGGATTTTAACTGGATTCCAAAACACTTGCATGCCATGATTTCCACTACTTCTCAATCTCTATAGTGCTCGCTGTCTGGTTTTCAAAAGTAATATATGTTCAATGTCAAACTCAAGATATGTAGGAAAGGACACATGAGGAAGTAAAAGTCATCCATAATCCCACCACCTCATGATTACATTTTGAACATAGTGGAAATATTACACATGTAAAATCTTGTATTTTTTTTAAGTTCTAGGGTACATGTGCACAACGTGCAGGTTTGTTACATATGTATACATGTGTCATGTTGGTGTGCTGCACCCATTAACTCGTCATTTACAGTAGGTATATCTCCTAATGCTATCCCTCCCCCCACCCCCTCCCCACAATAGGACCTGGTGTGTGGTGCTCCCCTTCCTGTGTCCAAGTGATCTCATTGTTCAATTCCCACCTATGAGTGAGAACATGTGGTATTTGGTTTTCTGTTCTTGCGATAGTTTGCTGAGAATGATGGTTTCCAGCTGCATCTATGTCCCTACAAAGGACACGAACTCATCCTTTTTTATGGCTGCATAGTATTCCATGGTGGATATGTGCCACATTTTCTTAATCCAGTCTGTCACTGATGGCCTTTTGGGTTGATTCCAAGTCTTTGCTATTGTGAACAGTGCCACAATAAACATACGTGTGCATGTGTCTTTATAGCAGCATGACTTATCATCCTTTGGGTATATCCCCAGTAATGGGATGGCTTGTATTTTGTTTTTTATTAACTTAATATAACATCAGAAATTTCCAGTGCCATTTAATTCTTCATAATCGCCAATTCTATAAATAACACCCCAATAAAAATATTTTACATGAAATTAGCATTTGCATTTTCTTCCTTGAATAGATTCCCAGAAAAAAATGACTAAATCAAAGGATATAAGCATATTTGAGGTTCTTTTTTCTTACTGATACGAAAATGAATGCACTCTGTGTTAGTTGACCCTAAAGATAGGAATTCTGTTTTTTACTTATTTGTATTCCCCACAGAAATCCATGTGGTGCTTTCCATATAGAAAATCTTAAAGAAACTCACAGAAATAGTACTAATGATTCATTATTCTTTGCTCCATATAAATGCTGTTGCCTTGAGGTTGGGTGCAGTGGCTCATGCCTGTAATCCCAGCACTTTGGGAGGCCGAGGTGGGTGGATCACTTGAGGTCAGGAGTTCAAGACCAACCTGGCCAACATGATGAAACCCCATCTCTACTAAAAATACAAAAATTAGCCAGGCGTAGTGGCACATGCCTGTAGTCCCAGCTACTTGGAAGGCTGAGGCAGGGAGAATTGCTTGAACCTGGGAGCCAGAGGCTGCAGTGAGCCAAGCTGGCACCACTGAATTCCAGCATGGGCGACAGAGTGAGACTCCGTCTCAAAAAAAAAATATATATAGATGTGTGTGTATGTGTGTACATATATATATATATATATTTATATATGTACATTACTGTCTTGAAACATTGATGATAGATGAATGGAATGGGAATGTCTCATGTTGCACATAATGTATCCTTATTGGTCAAAAAGAGAAGCCTGAATTCAAGCCTATAAGGAAACTTGCTCTTATATCAAACTTGCTCTTATATCAAGTTGCACAGTGATGGGGCAATACAGACCCAAAGGACCTATATTCAAGTCTCAAATCTTCTACTAACCAGCTATGTGACCCTGGCCAAGACATTTCATCTCTCTGAACCTGTTTCCTCATCTGTAAATGAGCGGATTGAACCCAATGATCTCTTTGTAACTTTCTAGCATAAATCATGAGTCTATGAAAGCACAGTCAACTTAAATAGTTGCAGAATACGTACATTGTTGGTATATTAAATAGTAATTACAAGCTATAGCAATACAAACTGTGGTACCACGGCATCGAATGCAGCCAGAAAATATAGCTTGGAATAAAAAGGTGAATGAGACACGGTGCAGAACTTCTTGAAGCTTGTGGTCTCATTGGGACCACTTCAGGGCAATGTACATGCTACTATAGAGAGCTCTATCAAATACTGTGGGAGCTGACACAGGAGAAAGTTGCTACAGATAATATGAACATGTATTTTCATTAAATGGGACCTTGAAGAATAAGAAGGAGTTCATCACACCAACAAGGGCATAAAGCATTTCAGGCAAAGGAAATGGCCTAAGCAAAGGAAAGGAAATACGAAATTAAATAAGATTATATATCTGAAGCATTAAGCACAATGTCTGCCATAGGATAACAAACAGTGGTTGTTGTTTCGATGATGATGATGATAACGCTGATTCTGAAAGTGCACAGGAGGAATGGATGAAAGAGACATGGAGCCAAAGATTAAATTGGAAAGGTGGGCTGGAGAGTTATGAAATAACATCTTAGATACCACATTAAGGAATCTGGACATCATCCTGAAAGAAATGAGAAGTTATCAGAGATTTTAAAGCAAGGAACCAACACAATAAGATCCTGTTTAGAAGGATCGCCTAGTTAGTAGTATGGGGGATGGATTGGTGGCCAAGGCACAGGGCTAGCAGGACCAATTACAAACCATGACATTGTGATGTATTGGATAGAGCTCTTTATACAAGGCACTGACCTAGCGTGAAGAGAGAGAAGGAGGCTGAAAGGGAAGCATTTGGTGTGCAATAACTGTGTCTTCAGTATTGCTACAAGCTTATCTCACAAGGTTAAAAAATAACTGACTAACCAATTGGTTATGTTTTTCTGAAACATACATACCCTTGTAGCATTGGTAGAAGGGATCTTCAAGAGGCAAATCATAATTCTCAAACTGGAATCTAAAGAACACTGTGAATAAATATGAAAAAAGTAAAAATTAGTTTCCACCTTAATATACCTTTTGTTTCAAATATGTCCTGAAAACATTTATTTTAGCAGAAGGAAAAATCTGAAATATGACTGCCTCTCTACAGTTTCCCATGCCATAATATCCTTTTTGAAAGAAAAAGCATTCTCAGGTTAAAACAATTTTAATTAAACAATTATACAATGCTAAACAATTAAATAACTAAACACAGCTCCTAAACTATTTTTCAAAGATATAGCCCTAAAAATTAATGAGATAGACAGGTGAATAGGGAGATGGGTGGAAGGATGGACGGATGAATGGATGGACGGATGGATGAATGGATGGATGGACAATGAACAGAAATTTGTTGGGTAGATATTAAATGTATCTAACTCTAAAGAGATACACCAATATGTGAAAGGCCATTTTAGGGGGGAAAAAAACCTACTTAGATCTATTTTAAAAAACCATGAATCCACATAAGAACCAGTTTCATCTGCCCTTTCTCTGCTCTGAAGAAACAAGACAAAAACCTGAGAAAATGCAGTAAAACTTCTACAAGAGAAAATCATACCTTACCTATCCATTCGAGTTCTATATTGACAAGATTCCACATCAAAATGTACTTTTTAAATTGAGTTTACTAGGATGGGGGGAAAACGTTACAGCAAGAATAAACAATGATATGGTAAACAGATCACAATAGCAGGCTGTAGTTAAATTTCTGCAGCTGTGAACATACATTAACTTCTTCAAGACAGTACAAAATAAGCCAGGAGTTTTCCAAGTGGAATCCTGGAACCAGCAGCTAGAAATGTGCCAGAATGCAAATCCTCAAGCCCCACTCCTACTGAATCAGAAACTCCCAAATCAGGCCCAGTAAGTTGTGTTTTAGCAAGTCCTTCAGGGACACTGATGCACACTGACATTTGAGATCTGCCTCTATAAACTGATGAAAACAAACTATAGAAGGTTTCAGTGGTTTATTATTTTCCCCAGAGATTAAAAACAAAGGCAGAAGATGATCAGGGGCAGTGCCCAGATCTGCCCTAGCCGGGAAAATTCTTACACAGATTCTGAAAGTATTTCACAAGTGCCTTCGAAGGGAACCACTGGTTCTATTTAATCTGCTTGACACTCATCGGAGTTGGTGTGACATTTACATTACTTTAAACCAGAGGCTGAAAACTGGCTGCTCATCAGGCCCCCATAGTGATTTAAAAACCAGAAAATGTCATCTTGGGAATAAAAAGGAACACAGACAACCTGAGGCCTGCGCTCCCACAGAACAACAATTGGCAGGCCTGAGTAGCCGCTGACCTCGTAGAAGGACTGGCACATTCCAGTTCCTAAGGGCCTCAATTCTCCTTATTATCTTTTCTCCCTTATTAACCCTGTAGGCAGGGTTCCTATGGGCAGGCTGATTGTCACGAATTAGGCATGCCACTTGTTTACAGCTGGCAACACTTGCCACTCTTCTGTGCTCAAGTTAAATCTTCTGACAGTCACATCGGCACACAGGCATTTAATTTGCCATACCTCAGCTGGGAGTGGTGGCTCATGCCTGTAATCCCAGCCCTTTGGGAGGCTAAGGAGGGCGGATCATGAGGTCAGGAGATGGAGACCATCCTGGCTAACATGGTGAAACCCCATCTCTACTAAAAATACAAAAAAAGTAGCTGGGCGTGGTGGCAGGTACCTGTAGTCCCAGCTACTTAGGAGGCTGAGGCAGGAGAACGGCATGAACCTGGGAGGCAGAGCTTGCAGTGAGCCGAGATTGCACCACTGCAATCCAGCCTGGGCGACAGAGCGAGACTCCGTCTCAAAAAAAAAAAAAAAAAAAAAAATTTGCCATACCTCATCCCATCCCTTCTCTGAGCGTGTGCGGCTCTTTAGCAGTGAAACCCTGATTGGTTCTCAGGTCCTAGGGGGCTCCATGTGCTTAAAATTTGTGCACTCAGTTTCCTGTGTGTTGATGTACAGTAGCTATACACATACACAGTTTCAAAGTACTAACCCTTCTTGCTTGGATTTATTCAGCTACTCCAGATCTGTGGGCAAACAAGGATCATAGAATATAAGAGGTGGTAAAGATCCCTCCTTTGTACTCCTGCTTCTCACAGTAACTCCAAACTCAGAGCAGCACACACTGAGTTAAGGGTCCCTGCATTATCCCTTGCAGACCTATTAGTAGTATCTGCCTATCTGGAAAAATGTATTATCACAGGTGGCTGATCTTTGTCAAGTATCTTATGTATACATAATACTCATTTCAGAAGTGGAGCTACTAATATGTAACCTGATCCTTTTGTTTTTCTGTCTATGGGAAATGCACTTTATTTTTATTTTACTTTATATTTTTGAGACAAGATCTCACTCTGTTGCCCAGGCTGGAGTGCCATGGCACAAACATCGCTCATTACAACCTCGACTTCCCGGGCTCAAGCAATCTTCCCGCCTCAGCCTTCCAAGTAGCTGGGACAACAGGTACATGCCATCACACCTGGCTAATTTTTAAAATATTTTCTATTTGTTTATTTATTTCTGAGACAGAGTCTCTCTCTGTCGTCCAGGCTAGAGTGCAGTGGTGCAATCATGGCTCACTGTAGCCTCAACCTCCTGGGCTCAAACAATGAGCCCACTTCAGCCTCCCAAGTAGCTGGGACTACAGGTGCACACCACCGTGCCCAGCTAATATTTTTTTAAGAGACAGAGTCACACTATATTGCCTAGCCTATGTTTTTTTTAAAATCTTTCATAGAGACGAGGTCTTGCCATGCTCCCCAGACTGGTCTCAAACTCCTGGGTTCAAGCAATCCTCCTACCTCTGCCTCTTAAAGTGTTGGGATTACAGTCATAAGCCACTATGCCCTGCCTGATTCATTTTGTTGCCAGTTAAATGCTTCTGTAATCTGCATAGAGAAAGCACAAAAAACCTCATGGAGCAGGTCAGGTTCAAAGCCAGCAACGCCACTGCCAGCCATCACCCTGCCCCCTACTCTAGAGACATGAATGTCTTCAACTCCCCCCTGCTGTAGAAGGGCAAAGAGGGTCTGTTAGTGAAATGAGCACTGGCCTGTAAGTCAGAAAACTCAGTTCTAATCCCCACATTGCCACCACTGTATTGTTTCCAGAAGCTACACCGCCTCTCTGAATTTGCAGAATTCATTTAGAAAACAGGGGCATTGGAAAGGATGATCTTTATAGATTTCTTCCAGCTTTAACAGTATTGGCTTCTTATTTGCATTTACTGAGCTCAAGTTGTCAATGATCCTTGGGCCACCAGATTTCCAGGCAGGTAATTGTGTGTATATTCTTGGGAGATGGTATGGTGTAGGGTGTAACAGTCAAGCAGAAATATCATCATTCACAAACACAGCAATCACTTCCCTTTAGATCATTCTCTAAAATGGAAACTTTACATTATAAGTCTGGGCTGCTTTTGGACAAAACTATTTATTTACTTATTTAATATCTACCAGAGAAAAACTGCCAGATAAACACAATCTACTCATGTCTTCCTGGCTGGTTTTTTTTTTTTTTTTCCAAATCAACTGGAAACATGCATATTCATAATCAGTGAGCAAAATGCTCGCTCCACATTCCTGTCATTCTCTAAGAGAACACAGAACAACCCAAATAAGCCCCCTCACTCCGAGGCTGACGGAGTTTCCTCATTGTCCTTTGCCATACATTAAATCACCCAAGACTCTGCTGCTTGTAAACAAATGGTCTGAAAATGGTAAGAAATTAATTGACAATGAAATCTTCGGCTCAGCTTACCTTCAGAGGTAAAACGCAAGGCAGCTTGGCAAAAAATGTCTGAAACTGGTTGCTGATTGTGGTCCACAGGCTACTAGGAGAATCCATAGGCAAAGCTTCCATGAAGGTTGCAATGTTTTCCAAACAGCGTATCATAGCACCCCCTGCTGGTAAATTCTTTTTGTTATTTAGACCCTAAAAACACAAAAGCATAGGCAATCAACTGCTGAAAGAGCACGGGAATGCACAGCGCTGTTTGGTGAAGGTCAGTTTAAAAGTCACATCCTCAGGCTATAAACGTGTTCAGTGCCTACTACATAGGCCAATCCCTGTGATAGACTGGAGGGATACCGAGAAAAATCGTTCAGACAAACTTAAGGGGGAAAACTGGTGAGAGGTGAAATGTGAGCAAGAAATAGGAAACAGCTTCCAAGGGTCTACAACTGGTATGGTTCGGTGCTAAGAAAGCAATGAATGATGCTCACTGGAAATAATCCCCAGCACAAAGACTGAGGGTAGAATTACAGGAGCTGCAGCTTTTTTTCTAGCAGTGAGCATCTCCCATAAGCAAACCCCGAGAGCTGACCTGCAGCGGCGCTGAGACTCGAACCCAAGTCTCTTGATCCAACACCCATAGCTCCACCCACCACTCTGCCCTTGGAAAACCAGGTTGTTCTGTGGAGGCAAGGTCATGACTTAGGCTGAGGGTATGGAGAAGTTTTCAATGAAGAGTAAATCCACGCAAAGCAGCAATGTCCAACTGACACTTTTCTATGTGATTCTACTTCTTAATTAACTTTTTAAAATTTAAATTATGTTAATTTTTAAAATTTAAATTATTTAAATTTTAGCATTTTCTATTATTTTTCTTTTGAGTTGGGGGTCTCGCTCTGTTGCCCAACTTGGAGCATCGTGTAGCCATCACAGCTCACTGCAGCCCCCAACTCCTGAGTTCAAGTGATCCTTCCCCTCCATCTCCTGAGTAGCTGGGACTGCAGGCATGTGCCACCATGCCAGTTAATTTTTTTATTTTTATTTTGTAGAGATGGGGGTCTTGCTATGTTGCACAGGCTGGTCTTGAACTCCTGGCCTCAAGCAATCCTCCTGCCTCAGCCTCCCAAAGTGCTGGGATAATAGGCATGAGCCACTGCACTCAGCCCTTAGCTTTAAATTTAATATAAATTTTTAATTTAAAAATTTTAGATTTCATTTTTAAATTAAATAACATTGAAATCCTTCCTCAGCAGTACCCTACGGTGTGACTCAAAGAAACACCCACAGTTGTGCTGGGGCTTAGAGTTTCGGCTGGGGCTTAGGGTATTACTAAAGGAAACCCACCTCTAGGAGCTGACTGAGAGCTGCGATAGAGCTCAGCTCGTTGAAGTCCATCAGAGACGAGGCTAAGGTCCGTAAAAAAGTCCCATCTGGAAAGTCAACAATCAGATTTAGTGTTTGGATGTCTGGGATGAGGCAAATTTGTGGTGTCTGGATTCTCAGTGGATGAATTACCTTTGATGGTGCTTTGGAACAGCTGTGGGAAGATGCCGTTGGGGGCCAACTGATGGAAGATGCAGCGCAGGAACTGCTTGGCCACCCCTGCCGCATTGCCAGGAACCATCATGCTGGAGTTGAACAGGGGAGAAAAGACACGAAGTCATAGGCCAGTGAGCATGTGTTCAGGTATTTACTTAGAGTTCAATCATTTGCACACCATGCCTCTTATGGGATAGCTCACTGTCACGTTCATCAGTGAAATGAAATATTCTACTCAAACCTAATCCCTGTTAACAAGAAGTTTTTAGAAAGAGAGAACCATGAAATGCCAGCATAGTCTCAGACATATTCCAGGTCCCACAATGGACTCAGGAAGGTTATGAGGTCCTGAGAGAAGAGGTCACATACAAAGGTCACATGCTCACAGAATGACAGTCAAGACTAGAGCTCTGGATGAGGATTACCAGGAAAATCCTCCCAGGAAAGTGTCACTGGCTAAGAGAGAGTTGCTCTGAGGAAAAAAAATTCATATACATATACATATACATATATATATATATATATATATGCGCACAGTGAGGGAGATGTTCATTCTCATTAGGAGATCTGGGAAGTTTTCTTTGGGCATCCGTAAAAAGGCTGGACTTTGACAGGTGCAGTTTGCCCTTCACCCTTCATGTGCACCTCTGTACATCAAAAGTAGGGCCAAATTTATGAGGCCCTGCCCCTTAGACCAAGGTACCAGAAGGGATGCTTCTTGAAGTAGTTAGGGGATAAGTTATCAGAAGGAAGAAAGAAAAAATCAAAGAACATAAATAGATAAAGAGTAAGAAGTACTGCTTACCTAATTATGCCAATTATTACCTCATTATGCCACATCTACCCTGAAATGCTGGTTCAAAGTTTTAGGTCAAAAACATTCTTCAGGAAAAAATAATACCGAACTTAAAATAACTTCAGAAAATAGAGAAGGAGAGAACCCTTTCCAATTTGTTTGATGCAGCCAGCATAGCCCTAAAACTAAAATCAATAAAGCCACTATCAAAATAAATTTTAAAAAAGAAGGAAACAGAAAAGAAATGGGAAGAGGACAGACACACCCATAGTCATCATGGCCATTGAATTCAGCTATAGATTAAAAGACCAAGTAGGGTCATGACCAAGTAGGGTTTATCCCAAGAGTGTAACAATAGTTTAATACTCAAAAATCAGTCAGTACAATTCAATATACTAAGAAATAAAGGACAAAAAACTTTAATCTCAATAGATGCAGAAAATACATCTCACAAAAGTCAACACACATCATAACAAAAACTCAGACTGGGCCAGGCGCAGTGGCTATCGCCTGTAATCCCAGCACTTTGGGAGGCCAAAGCAGGAAGACTGCGTGAGCCTAAGAGTTGGAGACCAGCCTGGGAAACAGGGCAAAACCCCCCCATTTCTACAAAAAAATACAAAAAACTAGCTGGGTGTGGTGGCACACACCTGTAGACCCACCTACTTAGGAGGCTTAGGTGGGAGGATCACTTGAGCCAGGGAGGTTGAGACTGCCAAGATGGTGCCACAGAACTCCAACCTGGGTGATAGAGCAAGACCCTGTCTCAACAACAGCAACAGCAACAACAACAAAAACCCTTAAACTGGAAAAACTTCAATTTGCTAAAGGGCATCTATAAAAAACCTATAGCTACTGTGATTAATAGTAAATATTGAATACTTTCCCTGTAAGAGAGGAAACAGGACAAGGGTGCCCACTCTCCCATCTCTATGATTGCATTGGCAGTCCTAGCCATTGCAATAAGGCAACAAAAAGAAACAAAAGGCATAAAGATCAGAAAGGAAGTAGTAAAACTCTTGCTATTTATAGATGATTTTTCTACACAAAATCAAATCCTAAGAAATCTACAAAGCGACTACTAGAACTAATAAGTGAGTTTAGCTAGAATACAATGTGAATATGCAAATATCAATTGTTTAGATATCAGCAGCAAAAAGTTGAAATTTTTAAAAATTCCATTTACATTAGTATAAAAAACATAAAATTCTTGAAAGTAAATTAACAAAAATGGCAAGACCTCTACACTGAAAACTAAAAAACACTGCTGAGAGAAATTAAAGATCTCATGAAACTGAGATACATACCATGTTCATGAATTGGAAGATTCAATATTTTCATGCTGTCAGTTATCCCCAAATTGATTTGTTCTTTCAATACAACCCCAGGAGGCTTTTTTGATGAAAATAACAAGCTTATACCAAAATCTTTATGAAAATGTAAAGAATCTAGAGATCCAAACCAATCTTGAAAAAGATAACTAAATTTGGAGGACTCACAGTACCTGACTTTAAGATGTACTACTTACTATGAAGCTACTATAATCAAGACAGTGTGGTGCAAGCTTAAGAATTAATATATAGATCAGTGGAACAGAATAGAGAGCCCAGAAATAGACCCACTCTTCAATGGTTTCTCAGCTTAACAGGCACCACAGTGATCCAATAAGAAAAGAGAATATCTTTTTAAACTGTGTTGAAAAACTGATTATCCACATGGATAAAAATGAACTCCTACCGCTGCCTCATATCATACCATACATAAAAATAAATTTGAGAAGTTTTTTTCTTTTCTTTTCTTTTTTTTTTTTTTGAGATGGAGTCTCACTCTGTCGCCCAGGCTAGAGTACAGTGGCACAATCTTCTCTCACTGCAACCTCCGCATCCCGGGTTTGAGTCATTCTCCTGCCTCAGCCTCCTGAGTTGCTGGGACTACAGGCGCCTGCCACCACACCCAGCTAATTATTTATATATTTAGTAGAGATGGGGTTTCACCGTGTTAGCCAGGATGGTCTCGATCTCCTGACCTCGTGATCCGCCCATCTTGGCCTACCAAAGTGCTGAGATTTCAGGCGTGAGCTACCGCGCCTGGCCTTGAGATGGGTTTTATAAATGCCAAATATACATATGAAAACCATAAAGCTTTTAGAAGAAAACATTAGAGAATATCTGCATGACTTGGAAGTAGACAAAGGTTTCTTAGACAAATAACAAGAAGCAATAATTGTAATGTTTTGTTTTAATGCATTAGAAATCATCCAAATTAAAAACTTATCAGCAAAAGATACCACTAAGAAAAGAAATAGGCATGCCCCAGACTGGGTGAAAATATTCTCAAAACGTACTTAACAAAGGACTAGTATTCAGGATATATAAAGTCTTACAACTCAGCAATAAAAAGACAACAACCCGATTAAAATATTCAAAAGATTTGACCAGACACATCTCAAAAGAATATACACAATGGGTCAATGAGCACTTGACAAAATGTCATAGAGAAATGCAAGTTAAAACTATAATGAAATACCCATTACACATCTACCAGAATGACTAAAATTAAAAAGACCAACAATGCCAAAGTTGGGCAAGAATATGAAACAACCAGAATACATTGATGATGGTAATATAAAATGGCATAACCACTTCAAGAGAAATTCCAGTAGTTTCTGATAAAATTAAACATATACCTATCCTGTAATCCAACAATATCATCCCTAGGTATTTTACCCAGGAGAAATAAAAACACTTGTTTTAAAATGGGCTTTTATAAGAATGCTCATAATAGCTCTATATTTTATAGCCCCAAACTGAAACAACCTAGAAGTACTGCAATAAGAACATTAAAAAGCAAATTATGGGATACAATTCAGCCTTGAAAAAGAAACTCCTGATAAAAAAGCAGCAATATGGATAAATCTCAAAAACATCATGCTGAGTAAAAGAAGTTGGACACAAAGGAGCACATACAGTGGGATTCCATTGACTTGAAGTCTAGAATGGGCAAAATCAACCCAAGTAGAAAAATATCACAACAGTGTTTGCCCCTATAGGGGTAGAGATTAGCTGGAAACGTGCATAAGAGAACTTTCTGGCAATAATAGTAATCCCATTAACAGGGGTTTCGGTTACACAGTCATATGCATTTGACAAAACTCAAGAAATAAACACTTAAGATTTGTGTACTTCCTTGTATGTAAATTTTACAAAAGAAACCACCATGGTCAATGTACAATATGATGAGTATAGTTAACAACAATGCATTGTATACTTGAAATTTGCTGAGAGAGTAGATTTCAAATGTTCTCACCAAAAAATAAAAAGATAACTACGTGAGGTGATGAATATGTTAATTAGCTTGATTGTGGTAATCATTTCACAATGTACACATCTATCAAAAGATCACATTTATATCTTAAATATATATAATTTTTACTTCTCAATTATACCTCAATAAAGCTGGAGGAAAAAAGAAACAACCATATACAAAAATTGAACTTGAGTTAATGCTAACTTTGCTGAAGTATGTAGGGGAAACTACATTCTAATACCTGAAATTTACTCTGAAATACATACACAAAAAATGAATTGATGGATAGATAGATGGTTGGATGCATGATAAAGAAAATAAAATATTTGTTTTAAAATCTAGGTGATAGGTATATGAGTGTTCACTGTATAATTCTTTCAACTTTGCAGTACGTTTAAAATCTTTCATTAAATAAGTTAAGAAAAAAGTTTTTAAATAAGTCATTCATCGAATAGAGCATTAGAAAGAAAAGCAAACATCCCTAAAGCCATAAGTTATAGAAATGCAATGTCAACAATAATATCATCTTATGTTTGTAGGACTTGCTACACTTATGCTGTCATATACACTCTATCATTTGGGTCCACAGAAAATACCCCTGAGGCACAAGAAGGCATATATTAGTATCTCTCTTTTACAGATGAGGAAACTAAGGCAGAGAGATCAATGTGACCAAAGTCACACACAGCATCCATTCCTGCCCTCTTCTGGTTCTTTCTCCCCACTGCAGTCAAAGTAGCCTTTCTACATGCTACACACACACATGCGCGAACACACACACACACACACACACATGCATGCATGCACACACACACCTTGTTGCTTACAAATCCTTCACTGGCTTCCCACTGCTGCTACAAGGAAGTCCAAAATATTTAATGTGGTGTATAAGTCATGCACAATCTGGTAAGTCAAACTCAGCAAGCGTTTGCATCTCAGTGCTGTGGTTATACTGGCTTTTTCATAGTTCCTCCTATACACCGTTTTTTACCATGCTCTTTCCATAACTATGTGCATAATTAGGTTAAACTCATTTTTTCAGATCTTGGTTTAAACATCACTTCTTGAGGGAGCCCTGCCGTCTTTCTCCCCTTCTCTACCACTACCAAGACCAGACTGGGACCACCTGTTACACCCACTCACACCATCAGCTCTCATCCAGGTTTGCTCATCTCAGCAAATGCCACACCCGCTCACCCAGTTGTTTAGACCAAAACCTGAGAGTCATTCTTGCCTCCTCTCTTTCTTTCACACCCAACATCCAATCCATCAGCAAATTCTGTTGGTTCTACTTTCAAAATATTTCCTAAATATATCCTTAATGTGACTGCCTCTCACCACTTTAGACCAAACCACTAACCTCTCATCTGCACCACTAACATGGTCTCCAAAGTGGTTCCCTGCTTCCATTTTTAGCCCCCCACCATAAGCTATTTTCAACAGAGAAGCCAGAGGGATCCTTAAAATTTTTTTCCTTAAAAAGATTTATTTTATTGTGTAAGAACACTTACCATGAGAATTATCCTCTTAAAAAATGTTTGTGTACAATACATTACTGTTGACTGTAGATGCAATGCTGTACAGCAGCAGATCTTCAGAGCTCATTCATCTGGCTTGACTAAAACTTCATGCCCCTTGATTAGTAACTAGGCAGTGATCCTTCAAAGCAGGTGATATGGTTTGCCTGTGTCCCCACCCAAATCTCATCTTGAATTGTAGCTGCCATACTTCCCACATGTTGTGGGAGGGGCCCAGTGGGAGATAACTGAATCATAGGGATGGTTTTCCCCATACTGTTCTTGTGGTACTGAATAAGTCTCACAAGATCTGATGGTTTTATAAATAGGAGTTCCCCTGCACAAGCTCTCTCTTTGCTGGCTGCCAAGTAAGACGTCCCTTTGCTCTTCCTTCATCTTCTACACCATGATTGTGAGGCCTCCCCAGCCATGTGGAACTGTGAATCAATTAAACTTCTTTCTTTTATAAAGTATCCAGTCTCAGGTATGTCATTATCAGCAGCGTGAAAGTGGACTAAAACAGCAGGTTAAAGCACATCGCTCCTCACTCCAATGGCTCCCTGCTGCATCCTTAAAATGACCTGCAGGGCTCTACTTGGCCTGGCTCCCACTGCCTCTTCCCTCTCATCTCTTCCCACTCTTTTTCATACTCAACCTGCTCCAGCCACATTAGTCTGTTCTCCAAATATATGAGGCATTTTCCTGACTTAGAGACTTCGTATTTACTGTTCCCTCTGCCTGGAATGTTATGTCTATGAATTACTGCATGGATCACTCTCTCACTTTATACCGGTTTTGTTTAAGTATTACCTCCTCAAAAAGGCTGTCCTTGACCATTATATCTAAAATACCAGCTCCGGGCACTCTCTATCTCCCAGACTTGCTTGATTCATTTTCGTAGCATGTAGCACTAAATGATATTAAATTACATAATCAGTTTTCCTGTTGGTTAATTTGTTTATTTTCTCCCTCCTCAACTAGAATGTAAGTTCCCTGAGAGCCAGGATTTGATGTTTTGTTATAGTTACTATAACCTCAATAACTAGTAGTCATTCCATAAATACTTGTTGAATGAATTACTGTTAGTATAAGTCTCTCTGTACTTTTTCTTCATAGCACTTAGCACAGTTTACAATTATAAATTTGTGCAAATATTTTATTCACATTGGCTTCATGAATAGACTATAAGCCCCATGAGGGCAGGAATCATGCCAGTTTTGCCCCCAGTGAAGACCTAAGTGTCTAGCACAGGGTGGGCTTAAAAGTATTCGTTGGCTAAAATGAGTGAGTCAGTGAATGAACGAATGAATGAAGGCATGAACAGAGAATGAATAACTAGTGCTCTCTAGAGCTACAACTGGAGCCTAACAATATTCCTTCCATGGTGCAAAAGCTGGAATTTTTTTATTTTCATTTTTTATTGAGACAGGGTCTTGCTATGTTGCCCAGGCTGGTCTTGAACTCCTGGACTCCAGTGATCCTCCCACCCTAGCCTCCCAAAGTGCTGGGATTACAGATGCGAGCCACTGCACCCAGCCCTACACTGGTGTTTTAGAAACGGGATGAACATGCACAGAGGAGAAAAGAAAGTGAGATCTGGGCTCACGTTAGGACCTTACCTTTCTGCTTGATTAGAAAAGGTAGTACTGGATGCCAATCTAGGAAATAAAGTAAAGAGAGTCACACAAACATCTTAGGTTTCCATGATGAAATGCATTAATATTGTGGGAGGACCTGTTGTGTTTCCAGTTTAGATGGGGAGACATGTATAATGTTGACAATTCCCTTGACAGACAGAGGGCCCACTCACTCAGTGGTCAGTCTCTAGAGTTAAACCTGACCTAGTCCTTGAGACCTGCTACATCAAGTTAGACATTTTCACGGAAACACTTGCAGTTAAAGTTGGTTTTCTACAAAATGGCGCCTGCAGCCAGGTCAAACTGTTATCACAACAACATGTGACCCAGTCCCTCTCCATATTAACTCAACTCAAAATTCATTTCTTTGTATATAACCTCGGAAACCTAACTATAAACAAACCATAAACAGTAAAAGCCTCCATAAGATAGTAAAATAGATATGAGGAATATCTGTCAGCTGTTGAGTTGAAATGAGGAGAAAGGAAATGTTACACTGAGAAGAGAGACGTATTGGTTAAGTAAACGATATGGAGCATGTAATTTCCAGAAAAGTATAATTATACGGTTCTGTATGTGTGGAAATATTCTATATGTTATCGTATAGAAAGAGAATGGACTACACTGATGGGTTTAGAAGAACATGTCTGGATCAGTAAGATACTGAAGAAACAGATAAGGAGAATGTTGCAAATTTATTTACTTGATTAGGACTACAAGTGTAAGAGTGAGCTGAGCCAGACCCCACTTAGAGAGGAATAGGGGGTCCAGCAACCACTAACACCAGACACCATTCCCAGTTGTGTTGTTTACAGACCCTCTCATGCTAATGTCACTACAACAAATAGATAAACATTGGCAAGTAAACTAAACAGTAATTAATGGTGCAGCAAATGAGATTTTAAAGGCTGTACCTACAGAAAGGGATCATTTAAGAGGGATCCAAGCAGACAGCAAAGTATGACATCATATGGAAAAGCTTGGGTGATCCATGAAAGGGTTATGCTGAGCTTACAAACTCTTGGAATTGCTGGGAATGGTCCCTGTGGTCATAATTAGCACAAATAAACAACGTGTTTGTAAAACCACATGACCTCATCTGTTCTTTGTGATGAAGTGAGACATGCCAGGAAGCCCTGAATTAGCTGACAGTTGAATCTGTTTTCTTGGTAGCTTTGGTGATTAGGCTTAGGTTGCTAAGAATTGTGGCAGCTTGCACTAAATGTACTCCCTGTCTCTTGCTAGTCTACACAAAGGAGGTAGAGATTTAAATATATGTGTATGTAAATATGTAAAAATGTATCTGTTACTGGTTTTCCCTTGCTTTTCTTCAAAGCTTGTGTGTTTCCATCCTAACAGTTGGCAATGTTTGAACACATATTGTTCTCACTTATGTTAAAACAAACAAACAAACAAAAAAACTGAAACAAAACCCTCTATGTAGCTATGACAACTTAGATCATCTGTTTCAAAGAGATGATAGCAGATCGGAACAATAATTCTATCCGTTCTGAAACTAAGAAGTATTGACAGTAGAAATTGTGACCTGGTATTAATAAAAACTCTCAACTCCCCAAGTATTGCTGATAGCTGACACAACATTTATTCTGCAATTACTATGACTAGGTCAAACTTAATGAAGTAATTCATCTTTTCTTATCTCTCCATATCCCCATACCCATCCCTTACTTGGCACATGAGCTATTTTGAAGTCTCGAGATGCAATGGTCACGCTTACCTTTATACAATCTCTGTCTATATGACTCCTAAGGACACTACCAAAAAAACTGGAGGGAGGGAGGATAAGCAAACCATACTCTTTTGGGGTTGAGGAATTTATAATGCTTTCCTGTTTGTCTTCAACTTGAAGTCAGCATTTTTTCATTTTTAAAAAAGGATTAAATTTTAGCTCCATTGAGATTCATTCTCTTTCCTTTCCTCTAATGCCAAGAATTTGCAGAATCCAGTTCTTGTCCTACCCCCTCCTTATAAACTTTCTTTAAGAAATGTTTTCTATGCTAATCTTCTCTAGCACTTAGCTCTCTCTCATTCCACTCATTACAGCATTTAATCACACCCTATTTTGTTTGGCTAGTCAATGAGTCCACAGTAACTGTCACAGCAACTAAGCCCAAAGTACCTGAGGACAAGAGCTCTGTCTAACACCTGCAGCCTAAAGCACCTGGCACTGTTAGCACAGATTGGAAACATTAATACGTTCATGTGGAGTTTAATTCAACCCTCTCTTATAAGTTGTGCATGCTAGGACTACAGTTTGTTATTGAATTTGAGCTTTCTTCATATCCATGAAATATATCCTTTATCTTCTAATGTCCTATCTAACAAATAGCATTTTCTTAGCATGAACATCCTCAAAGCAGCTAAGTGTAACCTCTCAGTCAGGTTGAAAGCCCTGTTCCCCAAATGTGTGCATCCTTCTTTTATCTGAGTCAGAAATGTGAACCTGCTGTAATTACTGTGTGTCTCCTCACACGACAATGCCCCAAGTTTCATAGTTAAATGAGGTGTCCTTGAGATTACAAATGCCTAGAAAATCCATCTCAAAACAGGTAAAGAGAAATAATAATAACAGCTAATACTTATGAAGTGCTTACTATCAACTGCTGACAGTTGTGTGCATGGTTACACCCATTAGCTCATCTAGTGATAGGGGTAACAAACAGTGGGGTTTTCTTAGTGCAGTTGCCTCTAGCTTTGCTCTGACATTGTGACTCATGACCCTACGCAGCTGGAGAATTCAGTCGAAAGATGGGTCTATTCAGTTTTTAAAACTAGTCTGAGTTGACCTCACAAATACCAGTATCTACAAGGTGGCTGAATGTTTTACTTTTGAACTGGTAAGATTTTAGTTCAAGATAGAGATCGAATAAAGGACCTTCCTACCAAACAAAACAGAAGCTGACATTCACCTTCCCACAGACTGCATGATATCCAGCAGCAACGGGGCTGCCAGGTCTGGGCTTAAGTGGATGAATGTGGAGAGCACCACGATGGCCAGCCCGAGTGTCTCTTCATCATATTCTTCAAGAATAGCCCCACAGTCATGGCATCTGCAAAGAAAAGAGAGACACGCTTTCCATGAAAGAAAGATCCATGGTCTCAAGATATAATGTACTACACACATGGCTGTTTCTAGTAGGTCTTGGAAAAGTCTTCAAAAGGAGATCAGAAGCCCCGCTCTGGTCATCAGCAGGGGATTCCAGTGCCGCCATCACCACAGATACAGAAACAGCACACATGACAGAGACCACGAAGGTGCCTCTGATGACTGAAAATGTTCTTTCAATTCCAGCATCCGGCCTGCATGTGAGTGACTGCTCTCGCTTAGAATGAGTACCACCTGGGCCATCAGTTTGAAGCCTATGGATGAGGGATTTGATGCATTTGACATTATTGCTGAGGAAAGTCAGTAACTAGATTTGTTTTTCATTTGTTGAAGTTAAAAATGAAAAATGCTTAGGCACGGATGGAGGCCTTCAGAAAATGTTCTATTTGTGGGTAAGAGACAGGGTAGTCAAGTCTACAGAACCATCTGGGAAGCCTGAGGAGACAATGGAGTCTCTTCACCACCACTCACTCAGATGAGTTTTATGAACTCACCAGGCCTGCCGAGTGTTGTATGTAAAAGCATAAACAATGGCACCCACTCTTAGGTAACTTCCAACTTATCATTGTTTGTCATGTCCTAACGTAGGGTCCATTTCATTCAGCTCGACCAAAGCCAGCTGATAAAGTGAGTGGTTTTACAAAGGGAAGCGAAAGTCTACTGGGAATAGCAGGGAAACAAGAACTACAACCGCTATTGTGACCTTTCCTTCTGAAACCTTCCTAAATATAGGCCAAAGAAAAAGTATAAAAATGTCTTACAAATTGACATTTTAAAATATAGGATTCACATTTCTAAGTAAAAAAGAAAAGAAATGGAGTGCACAGAAAGGCAAGTAGGAAAGATTAAGACTTGGGGAGGAGGGTAATCCCAAAGGAAGAGCTGGGAGAGCCCTCCACGGGCAACTCAATGACCTGTGTGGACCTTCCAAGGCAGCTGCATGAGACAGGCACTGACGCTTCTTCAGTCATGGCTGTCAGCTCATTACAAATGAGTAATGGATGGCCAGCTACAGGGATACTCACACCAGCCCCTCCACCTTACCTTCCTCACCTTTTATCAGAAGCATACTGTGTTAGTCTGTTCTCATGCTGCTAATAAAGATATACCCAAGACTGGGTAATTTATAAAGGAAAGAGGTTTAATTGACTCTCAGTTCCACATGGCTGGGAGGCCTCACAATTACGGTGGAAGGCAAGGGGGAGCAAAGTCACATGTTACATGGTGGCAGGCAAGAGAGCTTGTGTAGGGGAACTCCCATTCATAAAACCATCAGATCTCGTGAGGCTTATTCACTACCATGAGAACAGTATGGGGGAAACTGCCCCCATGATTCAACTATCTCCACCTGGCCCCATCCTTGACACGTGGGGATTATTACAATTCAAGGTGAGATTCGGGTGAGAACACAGCCAAATCATATCATCTACCTAATTTATCAATCAGGTCACTTTTACCAAGAAGGCTTCCTGGTCCAAGGGGATTTCTCTAAACTTGAAATCTTACAAGTTTTTTTCTTTTTAGACAGTCACTCTATCACCCAGGTAGGAGTACAGTGGCACCATCACAGCTCACCATAGCCTCGACCTCCCAGGCTCAAGTGATCCTCCCACCTCAGCCTCCATAGCAGCTGGGACTATAGGCATACACCACCATACCTGGCTAATTTTAGTATTTTTAGTAGAAACAGTGTTTTGCCATGTTGCCCAGGCTAGTCTCAAATTCCTGGGCTCAAGCAATCCACCCGCTTTGGTTATTCTTTATCATACTCACTGAACAAGCATCTGTGTGTCAGGCAATATACTGGAAGAACAAATTATGACTTAAAAGTAAAGCATGCTTCTTCTGAAACTTTCTCACCACCGTGGTGACCAAACTCAAATTCTGTAAACATGGTGAAGAAAATAGCTGTGCGGGCTTACTTGTCCGTCATCACCGTCGGCTGCTCGTCAGTGAATTCTTCGGGTGCAGGCACAAACATACTGACTATGCTTGGTGCTGACAGCAGGCTGGATTTGGTGGCACCTGGGTAAGCAGCAAAGGGACAACCAGTGAATACATATGAGCTTCAAGGGGCCAAGAAAGGCCTGGTTCTCCTCTTAGAAACCCTCCGAAGATCACATTCCCAGGAATGCAACTTGGACGTCCCAATTGTACTGCAGAAAGCCCTCAATCATGAAATGAAGTCAAGAAAGATTGTGATTGGTTTCTACTTGGCTGAAGTGAAGAGCTAGACTTCTCTCTCTTTGCTTCTTGACTTTGAAAGAAATCAGAAAGAGCTCAGGTGTGCCAGCAGGGTCCAAAGACAAAGATGAAAGACAAAGGGGGAAATCTATTCAAGGGTACCCTTAAAAGAGCTACAATTCTTATTTGTAGGCATAAATGCAAACTGCCCATATGATACTGCATTTCTAAAATCACAAATGCATATCTACATTACAGTTTTGCTAATATGGGAAAGTGGTAAGATCCCAGAACTCCATGCACTTAAGCAATGGAAGATCTTTGAGCTAAGAAATATCAGTGTGTTTGTTTGTTTGTTTGTGACAAGGTCTTGCTCTGTTACCCAGGTTGGAGTGCAGTGGCGTGAGCATGGCTCACCGCAGCCTCAACCTCCCAGGCTGAAGCAATCCTCCCACCTCAGCCACTCAAGTGGCTGGGGCTACAGGCACACGCCACCATGCCTGGCTAATTTTTAAGCTTTTTGTAAAGACAAGGTCTCACTATGTTGCCCAGGCTGGTCTCAAGATCCTAGGCTCAAGGGATTCTCCCATCTCAGCCTCCCAAAGTGCTAGGATTACAGCTGTGAGCCACTGTGCCTCTACTCGCATTTTTCAAACTGAAGTATTTATGAATGTAATATCAAGTTTTTTTGAAAGAACCATCCAGTGACTCATTCCACGTCAGCCAATCAATACCACAGTGTTTAAAACTTTGGGGTTTGATGGCTTCAAAGAAATCTGAGGCAAGAATCTTAGCAACATGCTCCAGGGATGAGTAAATCAGTCTGGAGAGTCAGGAAGCTTTCCTCCATTAAGGAAGCCATTAGTGCAAGATAGAGTCTTAGATGAAAATGAGGCCCCCAAGAAGAATCTCAAAGTGATCATTCAGAATAATGCCATATTCTACAAAGTAATAACTAAAACTCTAAATTCTTCAAACAGTAAAGAAGGCAGAAAAATCCAACAGTCATTAAATAATCTTTCTCATCAAGGAATTAGTATCTTGGTGTTGGGAGGAAAAAAAAAATCTGGTATGACCTTTCCTCAAATAGGAGAAAGAAAATGATTCAGACAATGAGTTTCTAAAGGAATCAAAATATTCATAAAGCTAGCCAAGTGGGCAATGTGTTTCGATCTGAATTTTAGGAAGAAAAGATGGTGTTGAGCCTTTGAAAAGTCAAGATGCTTCTATACTACAGACTCCTTTGTCTGATCAAAGATTACACAAATATAAAAAGCAGAACATTTACAAATCCAAACTGCAAAGGAAAGTATCTGAAAATATCTTTTTCTTTTTTTTTTTTTTTTGAGACGGAGTCTGGCTCTGTCGCCCAGGCTTGAGTACAGTGGCCGGATCTCAGCTCACTGCAAGCTCTGCCTCCCGGGTTTACGCCATTCTCCTGCCTCAGCCTCCCGAGTAGCTGGGACTACAGGTGCCCACCACGTCGCCCGGCTAGTTTTTTGTATTTTTTTTTAGTAGAGATGGGGTTTCACTGTTAGCCAGGATGGTCTCGATCTCCTGACCTCGTGATCCGCCCGTCTCGGCCTCCCAAAGTGCTGGGATTACAGGCTTGAGCCACCGCGCCCGGTCCTGAAAATATCTTTATGTCACTTCCCAAGCTCCCAAATGGGAATCCAAATGTTACTACTATATTTTCAGCTATATCCAAGATAACATCCTTCCCTAAGTATACATAAGTGTATCATTCACAAAGATCTTCAATTGTTTCATAAATATGTTACTTTGAGTGGAAGCAACAGTATTACAAGGCATAAATGTACACTGATTAATAATAGCAAAAGCAAGAAATAATCCAAGACAAATGAAGACACAATTGATTATTAAATAGCACGGTAAACAGCATGAAGTTGCTTCAAGAAACCAAGACACAGAAAATTTAAATTCAATACCCCACATTTCTTGAACATTGACAGACCACATCAACCAGATGTCAAAATGCTTGTCTAGAAGTGGAAAAATTCAGCCCATACAATGTATGATGATAAGTACATAGACTTACTAGAAACATAAGAAATTGATTTTTTAATTAAAAATCCTCTGAGTCAAGCCTTTCAGAAGATTATTGCCAATTCCTATTATATAGTAATCACAATTAAAGTCAAGAAAAGGGACGGACTTGAAGTCATTCTGGCAGTTTCGAACTAATTATTTGCCTAATACAAATGCCAAGAAAGAGGTGTTTTTGACAATAGCATTGTGAAGTTGTTTTTCCATGTGACAGAATGTATGATGCAATATTTATGGCTGTCATCTATAAAAGCAGACACGTTCAGTTATTGGACACTGACCCCCATAGGGCAACACTGGCTGAATCAATGGATTCCTAAATATTGCTACTGAAGTAGGAACACAGAATAACGTACTGGGAGGAGGTGGGAAATGCGAAAAGGAAGCCACAGACCTCAGCCACCTTTGTTATACTTCAGTCACAATAAGTCTGCAATGTTAAAGGCAGTCCCTATCACCTCCAAGTTGCTGCCAACATTTCTGATGCCTCCACTACTGGCTCCCCATCTGAATAGCTGAAGTGCACTCTACACTGAGCTAGCAGCAGAAACAGAAGGCTCTCAGAAACTTGAACGAAGAGGGGCCCACCTCCAGAGCCCAACTTTGAAGCTGAAGATTTTGACAAAAAGTCCCTTTGCGAGTCTTGGATACAGGAGAAATTATGAAGGTGTCTGTCTCAAAGCAGGCATGCATGGATCAATCCCCCAGCTGCACTGATGGGCTCTTCAGTTTACCATGAAAGAGACTGACTTTCCATCTTAGTGTTCTCATCACCTCATTCTACTTTTGCTGCTACTGAGTCACCAGATCATGAACAAGCACCAAAGATTTGTTCAACCACCCTTGCTTCTACTCATCAAAGCTTTTCCTAGCCTCATAGATGAGAAGAATCTCACCTCATCCAATACAGGGACTACAACTGCTATTCATTGCCAAAGAAATGTGAGCCAAAGCTGGAGATCAGTATCTCCTAATTCCTTAGGAAAATTAGAAGAGTGACATGGTCTAGAAAAATAGGTCTACTTGATTTAAAAACCTAGTTGTGAGATGGGATCATAGTTCTTTCTGGGTATTCTGTTTTTCTGCCAATGATAGGCAAATCTGCCTTCTCAATTAAAAAAGAACAAAGGTAACAATTAACTACTTTGGTAGTTAAAATTCATGGGATTAATTTTGAAAATGAATATTCTGACCTTAGCACAGACTGGCCTTCAGCTTGATTCCGTGAGCAGCATCAAGTCAAGTGAATCTTTTCAATATATACTTCAGAGAGCTGGAAAGAAACTATTAGCCTATGACCTCAATATTCTAGAAAAAATACAGATTAGCTGGACCATGCTCAGAAAAGTAGATATGGCATGATATGGAAAACTGATATGTCTGAGAAGGAATGCTGAAGGACCTAGGAATGTCTGGTCCAGAAAAGACTGAGGGAATAAGCAATGCCCAAAAATAATAGAAGAGGCCAGGCCTGGTGGCTCATGCCTATAATCCCTGCACTTTGGGAGGCTGAGGTGGATGGATCACCTGAGGTCAGGAGTTTGTGACTAGCCTGGCCAACAGGGTGAAACCTCATCTCTACTAAAAATACAAGAATTAGCTGGGTGTGGTGGTGCATGCCTGTAATCCCAGCTACTCGGGAGGCTGGGGCAGGAGAATGACTTGAACCCAGGAGACAGAGGAGGTTGCAGTGAGCCAAGATTGCACCACTGCACTCCAGCCTGGGTGACAGAGCAAGACCCTGTCTCAAAATATATATATATATATGAAAGAGACTAGACTTGTTTTGTGTGCAAGGGTTAGAAAGTCACTATAAGGAAGAACCGTTGGCCATGTTCAGAGATGAGATGTCACGCACTCTCAGCCACCGGGGGTGTTTGGGCAAAGGTCATCCCCACTCCATGGAGCTGCTAAGAAAAAGGCTGTACCTGCTGGGTGACCAAATGATGGACATGTCCAGTCTCCTTCAGCTCGTATAGTCACAGACTCTGTGACTCAACTAACCTCTCATCCTCAATGGTTGTCCCTCCAGGTCAGGATTTAGGCACGTTGGCACGTTACACTGGCGTTTCCCAGGCTGTATCTGTTCTGTGGATAAATAGAGGGTTTCAGTCTTTGATGTGGTCATCTTAGCACCATTCAGAACATGAAGAATTTAACCAATCATCTCTTGGGGCCATTTGTTTGGTCACTGTTACTATGTATGATTAACATTTTCAGAACACATCCTAGATTTTAGGGTAGGGTTATTTGGGGCTTTACTACAAACCTGCCATTCAGTTCTATGAAATGCAACTAAAAGCCGGACAGCATCTAAAACTATCCCAGAAAGTCCAGACAAGTGCCCCATCCTGCCCCCCCAAAAAAGTTCAAATCTCATATCTCCAGATAGGAAATGAAAGGCTAATATCACAGCCATGACAGAAATGTTTTATGCAAATCAGTAAGTACATAAGTGTCATTTGGGACAATGGCCAGAAAGGTCATACTGAAAACATGTGGAACTGGTAGAAGGAAATGACAGGCGTTGGACTAAGGGATGGGGAACAGGAATAAGGGGGAGGGGGCAAAAATGGAGGCATGGTGCTTCAAAAATGTTTGTTCACATGAAAGATGAGGCAAAGCTGTAAGTCATGGCGCCATGCATGGATGGAGAAGAGGTGGGTCTCATATGCATGGGTGGAGAAGAGGCAGCTCTCAGGGCAGAGTTGGTGGTGCTGAGGTTAACTGGTCAGATCCATGTTTTAGGTTGCCTTTCTTAGTGTGCCCACATGGCCACATTTGTTCTTGTGGAGACCAGCAAGTCACTGAATCTACACGTGTAGTTTAAAGTGACATGCCACCTAACACTGGACTACACAGTCACAGACTCTCCCCTGGGCTCGGATGTGAGGAGGACTTTTTCTGGCACTAATCAAAACAAGAATATTGAGATGACACTCATAGGACTTGGTGACTCGAGAACCAATTTGGAGGATGGAAAACAGGGCCAGGAAAACTCAGGGGAAAGAAATTCAGACAGCATATAAATGGGAAATACTAAATGAGAAACCAGAGTGACATGAACAAGGTTGAAATTTGGTTGAAAAGTGAAAAATTCCGTTAAATGGGTTATTTGGCATCATGTAGATTTTCTTAGATTAAAATTTGGACTGAAAATTGAGATCAGTTTGCCTTTTATAACTACTGTGTCCATCAAACTAGGTTGTCATTGTAGCTGGAATCTAAACAGGTTGGTTAGCTTAGGCTGAGCTACCTGCTGCAGAAAACAGTAGCAAGGTAAAATCATCTTCAGAGCCCTCACATCAGCATTTAATTATTGGAAACCTAATCAAACAACAGCTGCCATTCTCAGTTCCTTACATAGTTTCATCTCCATAAAGAAGAAAGCACAGTCCTCTTTGGTGTAGGCAGAAAGACTTCATTGAAACCCAGTGAACTCCTGAGGATGGCTGTCCAGTCTTTCTCCTTCTCTCCCCTGCCTGTTGGCTCTTGGCTATTCACTGCTCACTACAACATATCACTAAAATGAAGAGAAAACACTAAACCTTTAAAATGTTAAGAACCCTTATAAAGTCCAGGAGAGTTGAAACTATCTGTTAAATGTGAGATTGGTTATGCTGTGTAGGATTTAGTTATCTAGACTAGAGCTCTCTCTCTCTCTCTCTCTCTCTCTCTCAGAATAATGAGGGCAAGTAAAATTATGTATATAAATACTATGGCTTTGAAGAAAATGAAAGTATCTCAGTATTTTGCTTTTGTGGATATTATAATTCATAGTCATCAGGAAGAATATTAAAATAATCTCATATCACTGCAGCCAGAAAGTATTAACCACGATACCAAAAGAGTCCGATCCAAGGGTAGGCCCCAGAGCATATTACCATAATAAGCCCTTACATTTTAGTGGTGCCTGCATGTTGCAAGGTGTTTTCACATATGTAATCTTGTAACTCAAATGACCCATTTAATTATAGGAAAAAATAAAAAACAGAAAATGCAGGCACTTAAGAGGATTGCGACTGTACTACTAGCTTGATAAGGTAGTACATGTACAAAACATGGTAACAAAGTTTAGAAAATACAGAGTGATCATGTTTAGAATAGACATGTCATGGCAGTCAATTCTTACTTTAAAATTGAGGTTAGATGCAGTTCCATCTTATGAGCATGGGGGTGTGCGGCTGCAACCTGGTGACCCTGCTGGCTAAAACACAGAACTCATATTCCCAAACCTACTGGCAGATCATGATGTCACTAAGCTGACAATTGTCATCGCTATTGTCATTACTATAAATATTCCCTTATTTAGGGGGTACTTTGTAGTTTATACAACAGAGAATATTGATAATCTGCTGTGTGTTTTCTTTTTTATTTGCATCATGAAACCACAGTTCCATTCCCTCCTCCCCAGATCAATAACCTAATATGTGGAATCTGGGTCTTAGAGAGAACAAGAGTTGGGCCAGCCTCAACGGAAGAGCGTGTTACTCTAGAACACTTGGGAAGTTTAAATAGACTTACTAATTACCTTAGGTGGTTTTGAAAAAATTATCTGAACCAAAGAACATGAGAGAAAATCTATTCTTTAACAAGGGAGCAGAGTGGACACAGAGAAAGTAGCATTCGCTAATCCGAGAGGTAGAACGAGAAGAAAAAGCTTGACCCACCAGTGTCCCAGTTGCTGATGTTATGGGGGGCGCTAGACTGATGCTCCAGCTGCCGCTTCATTAACTGGCTCATTGTCAGAACTCCCAGGGATCCCCTTTTCATCTGCCTATACTGAGCTAGATGGAGGAAATTAGGAGACGATTATAATAATAAATTTCCACAGCACACAAAGGCTCCACACATCCATATAGAATTTTAATTGACCCTTCATTCGTTATTCATAATTTTTGGTAAATTGTATGCTTCCGTTCAAATGAAAAACTAAGGCACTCTGCTGTTCCGCACACCTTTCTTCACACAGTGAAGATGGTAACACTGCCCATTAGCACTGATTTGTCGCCTGTAAATATTTATCTCAGTTACAACTGAATGAAATATGATTATCTTCATCCACTTTTTGAATTATATACTCTGCCATGTTCTAAAAAGCATTTAAGACAAATAACAAATTTAAACATATGGCTTAACTTTCTTTAAAGGAGCTTGTACATATATTATTTCCATCTTCCTCATAGCCCTATGAGGTCCTTGTGTATGTGTGCGTGTGTGCATGATGTGTGTGTGTGCATGTATATTTTAGGGTAGGATGACACATATCAACCCCAATTTTTAGAGAGAGAAATTGAAGTAAATGAAATTATATGACTTGGAACCAGTCAGCAACTGAGGTGGTCCTAAAACCAAAACATATCAACTCCAAAGTCAATGTTGTTTTCAATTTCCATGTGAGCCTCTGCCTACTGTTTGAAAAATGTGAATCAAACAACATTCCATGAGTATATTCTAGTACACATCTTTGTTTTTAAAAAGTGGTAACATTTTTATCCTGTAAGTTAAGCACTGAAACATATCCCATTAGTGAAAGTCAAGTTATTAGCATTTCCAAACTAGAAAACAAAGAAAAACACTTTTGCCAGTAGATTGCTGAGTTGGAAAGCAGCCACCTCTGGTCCTATTCCCAGCAGTCCCGCCAATCCCTACCAACCAGCCCAGTGAGAGAGGCAGAGCATCATGGATGCAACTTTTCTACATGACCCCAAATACCTTGTATATCTGACAACTTGTGGTTATCCTCTGTGCTATAAGAACAATTTCAGAAACTGAAGCTATCAACTACTCACCCTAGAAAGGGATGGTAGAGACCGGGATGACTGCATGGCCCCTGGAAACTCTTCAATGTTACACACAGGTTTCACAATCATGGCACCAAGGTGGCAACTTGGTGTGATGTGAAATCAATTATAACATCATTTTTAATGTAACTAGCATGCTGTTTGATTAATGGTGGTCACAACATGTTTAGCTACAAAATAACCAGCTGATAAACTGATCAAAAGGGAAGGATGTAATGGGAATTCTTGTGTCTTAAAGTCAATATTAACCGAATTCACGGAAATGACCATTCAACCTAATACTAAACATTTCTGGTTTTTGTCGCTGATTGGTAAAACTTACAATGTTATGACTCACTTGAAAAGCACAGCTTTAAGTAAAATTCAAAAGCAGAATTCTTTTCAAAGATGTAACAAATTTAAAAATTAGCAGCATCTAGTAAGACTCAAAGAAAAATTTAAAACCTCTAATGATTGAATAATTTCTTCAATTCTCAGGTGTTTTTAAAGACAGCAGAATTCCCTGAGAATAAAATCCCTTAATGTTTAGCTCAGTGTATAAGGTACCAAGCATGATGCCTCCAAGAACACACCACCAAGAGCTATAGAATGCATGCTTTTAATGGCAAGGAGGAGAAAAGGTGGAAATCTAATGAAGTGCTAAGCTAAATCCAAAGTCTAGATCAATGATGCCTTTGGGATCATGAAATATTTGTAAATTCATTTTATGGTATATTTAACTAGCATTTGAGTCCTACTGAGCTAATAATCCTATTTCAAATTATACACTAATTCACTATCTTATTTCTTCTGTTTTGTTTGTTTGTTTGTTTTTGAGACAGGGTGCATAGGCTGGAGTGGAGTGGCACGATCACAGCTCACTGCAGCCTCCATCTCCCATGCTCGAGCGATCCTCCCACTTTATCCTCCCCAGTAGCTGGGTCTACAGGTGTGCGCCACCACGACTGGCTAATTTTTAATTTTTTTTTAGAGACCAGGGCCTCACTATGTTACCTAGGCTGATCTCAAATTCCTGGGCTCAAGTGATCCTCCTGCCTCAGCTTCCCAAGTGCTGGGATTACAGGCGTGAGCCACTGCACCCAGCCCACTATCTTTTATTAAAGATTACTCATACAAATTAGGAGAAGATAGACTTTCATGATTTTAGTATGTGGACATAAAATTAGCATTTTATCATGTGATCAAACAGATTTTTGTAATAGAAGAAGAATAATTAGATTCAGAACTGGCCATTCTTCTTTGCTACCAAAAGGGCAAATAACTGCCATTTGGAAACTATTTCTTAGAATTTCCATAATACTTATTATGACTGAATTTGAATTATTTAAAAGAAGTGTGGTATACTAAAAATGAACATGGGTCCATAAGTCTAAAGGGCCTAGCATCAATTCCTGACCCTATCACTTAGTAGGTATTTGACTTTAGGCAAGTCATTTAGCTTCTCTGGACCTCAATTACCTAATCTCTAAAATGGGGGGGCCAACAACATCTATCATGCATTTGCTGATGCCAGAACTGGATCAGATAACAATGTGTGTGAGCCACTTGGCACAGTGCCTAGCACATGATAGATGTTAAGTAGATAGTAGCTATAATTACTATTATGACTGCAAACTCCTGGAGAACAAGTGGGGTTTTATTTATTCACTTTTGACCTCCAGTGCCAAGCACAGTGTCTGGCATTCAGCAGACACTTAATAAATAGTTGCTGAATGAATGAATGCATGAATGAATGAACAATGAAGATGATGATGTTCCAAACTACCAGTCCAATATTTAAGATCTTTATCTGTTTTTTTCAGGATCATCAAAAGATGGTCAAATAAAATTATTAAATAGCTTTTCAGGCAATGTCCACATGGAACACAACATTTATCAGCACATATGACAAAGGTTTATAGAAGTTGCACCTCTGTTCGTATCTCTGATTCTTGGTAAGAATGTTTCATGCTAAGGTCTCGTAATTAACCCCACTGAGACAGATAGACACCCTTACAGAACTTTCAGTGGAACTCAAGCTCTCATGGACAAAATCTAGGACCCAGTGACGGAAGCCAGTTTCAAAATACTTGCCTTCTACAGGTCCTGTAAAATGTCATGCCATTTCTACTCTCCAATCCAAAAGAGCTAAATTCAGTCATGACTTTGGGAATATGATATATCACACATTTATTTTACGATAACCTAGATCACAATGAGGGAGGCGACTCAAATTAAATAAGTGTTCCATGTAAAATTCTGCCATAGACAATGCTTTTCATGTGCCTCAGAACCAGTTTTATGTTCAGGTTATACAATTTTTATTTTATTGAATAATGGAATTCAGTGATCATTCCTTAACAAATTAGGGTATTTGGCCAGTCAGCAACCATAGTGATTTATCAAACACTAGTGATATGGATGAAAGTGGGCCATCCTACACCTCAGGGTCTCTGAGAACATACAACATACTGTCATCAAGGAAGCTGATGCACCATTAAAATATATATACAATACCAAGATTGGAAAAATCGAAAACAAGGCAGCAGACAGTGTTCCAAAATAAAAGTACAGCTGAAATAATCAGCAGAGGAAATCTTACTTGATATTGAGGAATGGCTACTTGTTTCCGGCGCACCTGCTTCTAACGTAGGGGCAGATGAAGATTCTCGTGGCATTTCCAAAGTTGAAAGTCCTTTAGTAGAAGGATCTACAAACAGAAATATTATTTAAAACTCAGTACACTGATTAAAGGCAAGTTCAAGAACCTTTTCTATATATTTTCCCTTTTGCCTACTACAACCATTCAAATCTTTATACATTTTCCAGGCCTAATAATTACTTTCATGGAATTACATACACACTGATTACAATGTTCCAGGGAGAGCTGATTCTGTGTGACATTCTGCACCTATGGATCTGCCTTTTGGAGATTAATGACAGCAAAATTACAGAGCTAAAGTTCAGCTGCTCACAATGCATATCCCCAGACAAATTCTTTAACTTTTCTGTACTGAATTTCTTTTCATCTACGACCTAAATATGCTTACTAGTTCATCCCTATCTCCTGTCTAGCTACTCCACCTTTATCTGACAATTTCCTACTCATCATTTGCATCTCAATTTATATAGAAAAATTCCTCCTTTAGGGAGGCTTCCATGACTTCTCTCCACAAAAACATACAAACAAAAATGCTGGGTCAGGTGCGCTTTTGATGTAATCACAGAGCACCTTGTCTTTAACCTTCTCCAGACTTACCCCACTATAATCTAATTGTCTGTTTCCTTGCCCATAACCTTCGCTAACCCTTAAGTGATTTAGGAGCATGGACTGTACTCAACCCAAAATAAATATGCATGGTTAATTCAGATTTTGTATTTTATGCATTGAGCAAGAAACAGACTGTCATTGGTTCTCCTATTTGACAAATGTTGAATTTAGAGTGAAATTTTTCTGCATATAATATTGTCTTATTCACCTATCAGTAATGGGAAACACTCTGTCCCACATTATTCTAGTTAATCATAAATTATTTTTCAAAACCTGCTGAAAAGTTGACTGGCTTCTTTCCAAACCTTCTTGCCATCTTAGACAGCACCATGCAGTGAATATACTGAGCATCTTGCTAGCCTGGAGTTACCACCATGGGCTTCCATGACTACGCTGTACTGGAATTCAGGGATGTCAATCCCAAACGGCTTCAAGTTCTTAAGCTTAATAGTGTTTCTGTCTCATCCTTGCCATGGTGCCAGTTGTTTTTTCTTGCCAGAGAGCAAACCTCATACATTCATACAAACATACAATGTAAGGAAACAAATACCATTCTATTATTGGATGATCATTAAACTTGCTAAACTATAGAACAGATCCTAGGTGAGGGTCTGGGAGAAAAGCTTCTGAGCACTGACTTCAACGCATCTATTTTTGATTCTCAGAGGTCTTTCTGAGTAGGTTCGGTCGCCAAATTAATAACCTCTTGATAACAAAAAAAGCATAATTCTTGTAAAGTTTCCCAAACCCTCTTAATAAAGCATAAAATAACGACTAATGTTAAATTACTTTAGCCATTAAGATAGTAAAGATCGGGTATGACTTTTCTCTTAGGTATCCTCCCCAAACCACTAATCAAAAACATGCATGACTGTTTCTCTCACCCTTACTGGCCTGCATTCTATACAGGCTACAACTGACGCCTAGTAATCTCACCAATAATGCTAGTGAAAAGCTTAAAGCTAATTTTCAAGGACTCTCTGAAAGATTATTAAGACTTTTAGAGTTTTGGTATGCCTATTTGTGTGTGTGTGTATATGTGTGTGTGTAAGATGGAGTCTTGCTCTATTGCCCAGTCTGGAGTGCAGTGGCATGAACTCAGCTCACTGCAACCTCCGCCTCCTAGGTTCAAGTGATTTTCCTGCCTCAGCCTTCTTAGTAGCTGGGATGATAGGCACCCACCACCATGCCCAGCTAATTTTTGTATTTTTAGTAGAGACAGGGTTTCACCATGTTGACCAAACTGGTCTCGAACTCCTGACCTCAGGTGATCCACCCACCTTGGCCTCCCAAAGTTGTCGGATTACAGGCATGAGCCACCATGCCTGGCCTTGGCATGCCTATTAAAATCCTTGGTGTATCTTTAATTTTAAAGAAACGTCTTACTATAACAAGGTCAGTAATAATCATTAGTGTACTAAGATTCTGTCAGCGAGGCAATCTTTCCTCAGCCCTCCATCATTTTATGAAACTTTTACTTGTATAAATTTAAGATAAATATCTGAATAGAGCTATCCACTCGGCTTAAAATATTTGTATTCAATTTTTTATAGTGATGGGCAGAAAATATCAGGCTATCCTTTCATTCCTTCATCAGACATTTGCCAGCTCTCTTTTAGTCACTTGCAATACAATCAGTGAACAAACCAAACAAAATATTTGCCTTCAGGAGCTTTTATTTTGGTGGGGAGAGACAGATAATAATTAATATGCATAAAAGTGAATAAATTGTTGTATGTTGGAAGATCAATTCCCTGTAGGAGAGAAACAGAGAAGAGAAAGAGAGACATCAAGATGCCAGGTAAGGACTGGAGTGTGGGGCATAGCCCAGGGCAGGCCTCACAGAGAACCTCGTGTTGGGTCAAAGAATTAAAAGAATGGAGAGAATGAGCCAGACAGATATCTGGCAGTTCCAGGTTGAGGGAGCAATCAGTGGAAAGGCCCAAAGGTAAGGAATACAGACCTCACAAGTGGTCACTGTGACTAAGTAGCATTGTGGTGAGAATAGTGCGAATGCAGTTGAGAGCCAGTGAGGACTAGGACCACATAGGGCTTTGCAGGAATTTAAAGAACTTGAGCTTTTGCTGTGAACGAAATAGGGAGTCACTGGAAGGCTTCAAACAGGAGAATGGTGTAATCTCCTATTTTAAAGGATCACTCAGGCTGTTGTGTTGAGAGAGCATGAAGGTAATAGCAGTATAAAGTGGGAGACCAGTCAGGAGGGTGTAGCAGTTCATCAAGGTCAGAGACGTCAGTGGCTCAGGCCAGGGTGGAAACAGTGGAAGTAAGAAGAAGATGCCACATTCTGGATGTGTGGGAAGGTAGATTAAGGTTGCCAGATTAAATAGAGGATGCTCAGTTAGATGTTAATTTCAGAAAAACAACAGGTAATATTTTAGTATGAGTAAAAAAAAAAGTCCCATGCAATATTTGAGAGATGTGGCCCCAATTCTTCATATCTCCCTGAATCCATCCTTTCACCGTGTGACTTTAAAGGTCCACCACTAAAGAGGAAGAGTATATTTCCCCTCTTGACTTTGGTTCAGCCATGTGATTTGCTTTGGCTGACAGAATGGTTGCAAGAATAACATGGCCAGAGGCTTGGAAAGTGCCTCTGCAACTGGGCTTGTTCCTTTGTGACTCTGCCATCACCATTAGAATATTTCCAGGCTTCAAGGTCAGCAGGCATGAGAAGCAGAGCCTCGCCATCCAAGCCTTGGCCAATCCCTAGATGAGTCATAGACTCTCAAACTAAATAAATATTTACTGTTGTATGCTGCTGAGGTGTTTGTTACACAGCATTATTCCAGCAATAGGTCACTGATGGTTGTCTTAGCATAGAGACAATATGTAAAGGCTAAAACCAGACGAGACCATAGAGAGAGTGAGTTCATAGAGAAGAGACTAGGATCAAGGACAGAGACCACAAGTCATTCCGTCATTAGGGAGATAGAGAGGAACCAAAGAGAATGATGGGGTGACCAACAGTGTCAAAGATTGCAGATATGTCAGCATCAGACCTCATGGCTGACTGCTGGCAGATTTAGCAGTGAAGGACACTGGTGACCTTGACAACTGCTGTTTGGGTGAAATAGTGGGAATGAAAGTTTCATAGGAATGATTTTTTTTAAGAGACAGGGTATCACCATGTTGTCCAGGCTGGAGTGCTGTGGCTATTCACAAGTGCAATCATAGCACACTATAGCCTCCAACTCCTGGGCTCAAGAGATTCTCCTGCCTCAGCCCCCCAAGTAGCTGTGATGACAGGTGTGTGCCACCATGCCTGGCTTATGAACAGCTTTTAGAACTAATAGAATGGAAGAAAACTGGCGATAGTATAGAGTTGTCTCTTCCAAACTCTATACTAAAACATTAAAAATGATACCAAAAATTAAATGATATAAAAATTTAAAATGATACCAGTCAACATTATGTTTCTGTTTTCTTTTAATTTTAATCCATTAGCATGTTTTAGTATAGAGTTTGGAAGAGACAACTCTAATAGAATTTGGAAGAGACAACTTTATACTATCTCTTCCAAAATGTTTTGCTACAAGGAAAGAAGTAAAACGGGATAACAGTTGGGAGAACATGCATCAAGTGCTTTTGTTTGTTTAAGAAAGAGAAATAAGATTGTTTGTAGGCTCAAGTCAAGGGTCCTTTAGGAAAAAAAAAAATACTAAGGGAGGATACAGAGGGGAGAATTTTAGGGGCCAATATTCTTGAGTAAGCTAGAGAGAGAGAATCTTGTCCACATGTGGAAAGGCTGGGTGTAGATAGGAATACAGAGAGTTAACCTATAGCCCCAGCCAGGAAGTCCAGGTGTGTAGGTGCAGAGGCTGGAAGGTGGGCAGATAAGGTGGTAGGAGGCTGTGGAAAGTCCTTTTAATTATGTCAGTTGGAAGACTTATTGAAAGTTCAGGCAGAAAAGTAGCTACGAAATAGTCATTTAGGAGACTGGAAATGTGAATAGACCAGGAAAATACATTATGATTGCCAGGTTGAAGGACCCAGTCGAGGTTCATGGCCATTAATTTAAAATGATACCAGTCAACATTGTGTGTTTTTGTTTTACTTTTTTTAAATTTTATTTTGTGCATGTGTAGTTGTACTACATACAATTTCATTTGCAAAATCAGGCAGTGGGGCAGATTTGGCCCATGTGCTATTGCTGGCCAGTCCTGGAGCTATGCTTTCACTAGTCATGTTAAGGAATTCAAGCATGTTTCTTAATTTTCTTTTAACTTCTTGAACAATGCATTATGTGTTTTTACCCAGTCACATTCACCTGATAGGTGCAGGTACCAGTAGAGGGAGAGTTGGTTTTAACACGGGTTGTGTTTAGCCAAGCAAATCTCAAAAGGGAAAGGCCCGAGCGGGTGCAGGCAGGGAGGAATTACATTGATAGCCTTGAGTGTAAGTTGAGTAAGGAGAAAAGATGTGAAGTAGGGGAGGGACAGCAAAACATACTTGGATCAATACATGATTATCCAGGGAGAGAAGAAATGGTAATCAGAGAATGAGAGATGTGAAAGTAAGATCATGAAGAGGTTGCAGTTATTGGCAAATAATAAGGTCTGCGATGTGACCATGGGTGGGAGCAGCTGAGCTAAGGTGGAGGATTAAAAAAACAATCGCTGGAGAAGATGCATTCAAGGAAACCAAGTGTCAGGAGTGTCATCTACACTAATATTAAAATCCATAGGAATTACAGCAGGAATAATTTAGGAAAGAGTAAGAAGGGCCACGAATCAAATTTGTCAACAAGTGAAGAAGAGCCAGGGTTCGTGATGGCACAGCAATGCAAGTAGTGGGTTCTGTGGTCTGAGGGTATGCAGCTCAGAGCGAAGGTTTCTAGAGACAAGAAGGGAAGGGTCTGGAAGGGGCAGTGTGGAACAAGGAAGATGCTGCCCCCGGCCAAGTCCAGTGACATGGGCTGTAGGGAAAGCAATGCCCTTGGGGAGAGCTGGGCTTCCACTAGACTCAGAAGGCAAGGGAAATAGAGGAGAGAGAACATGTGTGAGGAATTTTGCTCATAAAGGACCATGAATTTCCTAGGACACAGGGGAAGGGTTTCAGGAGCCAGGGTAACAAGGAAGAAAGCTTCAGAACAGAAGGTATGCAAGGCCTTGTGGAGCTCTGAGTGAGGGATATGAAGGACGACCCAGTACTCTAGGGACTGACATAAACAGAGTGAAGTGCACAGTAAGATGAGTCCTGGACTCCTGGCAGTTAGCAAGGGTAAGGCTGTGCATTTGGGATGGTTTGGAGGGGCAAGTGTCTGGGTCTCCCTCACTACTGATGATGAAGGCAGGAAAGTCTGGGGATGCCTGGGTCATGCTCTGAGCACACAGGACTCCTCCCCGTGCCCAGCAAGGAGGGGCAGAAAAGGTCAGATCAGAGTCAGTGAGAGGCAAAGCCCTATGGAGACATAAAATTATGATGACAGTATAATATATATGTGTTATATATTATATATGTTATATAATAATATATGTTATGCCATTTTAAAGACATGTTATAATTATCATGTATTTTTCCCTTGTTCTGTTAACAAATGTATGAATACAAAACCACTTTCCTCCCTGGTAGTCGGGGGAACGATCAAACACAAGGGTGAATAAAGAAGGCAACACAGTTGCACACACAAACCTGCACGCTAGAACCTACATGCAACCTACACATCACAGAGACTCACCCTGTGGACCTCAGCTTCGTATGCACCTGCCCTATAGACCTCTATCATTTCTAGGTCAGTGCCGTCCTCCTTCCATATGCAGCCATTTTCCTGGCCCCAAACAATAAAAAGGTGTCCCAGTTTTCCTGAAAGCCTTCTTAACTTCTTAAACTTTGTTGTTATGAACAAGGACCCTTTTTTCCCTGCCTGGCTGGAGCATGACCCTTTCTGAATACGCTAATGTTCATTCAACAGAGTTTTACAGCACGTTTTTGAGGTAGACAGCTCTGTCCTATGGGCTAGATGACAGCTAGAAACCTCTGGAAATGCCTGAGGCAAATAAAAAAGCCAGGTGCATCCCCTCAGAAGTTGCTTTTGTGTGGAATAGCAGGAAAACGTGACTAGAATCAGGCACTGCTTCTGTCTGGCCATGTGACCTGGTGCATCACCTCCTCTAAGCCTCGGTATCTTCCTGTATAACATGAGGGGCTAAGCCAGAGGTCTTTAAGACCTTCACCAGTTTTTAACCTTCCACAGTCTATATATCTACTAAAATAATCACCCCTAGCCAATTCCATTTTTTCTAAAGTCCCATTAACTTTTTTTTAAAGATGGAGTCTCACTCTGTCACCAGGCTGGAGTGCAGTGGCGTGATCTCACCTCACTGCAACCCCAGGTTCAAGCAATTCTCCTGCCTCAGCCTCCTGAGTAGCTGGAACGATAGGTGTGCACCACCACACCCAGCTAATTTTTGTGTTCTTAGTAGAGACGGGGTTTCACCATGTTGGCCAGGACGGTCTCGATCTCTTGACCTTGTGATCTGCCTGCCTTGGCCTCCCAAAGTGTTGGGATTGCAGGCATGAACCACCACACCCATCCCCATTAACTTATGTTAAAAGATCTGAACTAAGAAATGAAGATGGGTTCTGATCAGTGTCACAGTAACATTACAGAAGACTGTGTTATAGGATGGGATGGATCATGGGCTTGCCATTTCTTTCAAGTTATCTTTCTTAGAAACAATGCCTCCAAGCAAACATAAGAAATGGCCCTGATGCAGGAAATCCATGGGCAGTGACAACTTCGTCACCAAGTGATGACTGTGGGTTAGGGTCTAGGCTGTAACTGGTATTTTTTGGTTTCTGATACTTGGTTAGTATCTACAATCAGCTGTATGCCCTGTAAATGATGGTACAGTCAATTCTTAATCATTCTAAGCACTGTTTGCTTTAGTTTAGCCCTTCACATTGGTTCCTTCTTTGGACTATATCATAGCTCACTAGTATAGAGTAGAGAAAAAAAGAAAGCAAAGAGTTCAAGTTAATGACTTTTGCTGTTTGAGGAAGGCTAAGATGATACCTGGATTATCCCGATACGAATTAACCAGTGCATCTCATTGCCAAGGGTGGTCAAGAATTGACTGCAGAGTTTAAAACAACAAAAACAGAAACATTTATGGAGCCAGTAGAACCACATCTGCATCCAACATTGTCCACTAAACCGGAAGGATTCAGAGTGATTGCGAAGCCATCATAATGTCACACCCTGACATTATAAGAGTTTGAGTCTGATGCATATTCAGTGCCAGTACCCTACCAAACAAGATGCACAAACTTAAAGTTAAGGCTGGGAGAAAGAAGAGAGGCAAGCTTACCTGGATCTTTCTGTTCTCCCAGTTTGTCTAGAATGTTGAAGGAGATGTCGAGGTACTCTCTCTGGATAGCACTGACAGCAATCTTCCTCTGCTTCCTCTGCCTGGGAACAATCTGAATCTTAAATTCGGATTCCTCAGCTCCATCCTCCTCCACCTTCCTTTCAGGATTCTGTTCTGTATCAGATTCTGCACTGGTATCAGGCTTCTCACTTTCTGTGGGGTTCTCCGCATCTTCGGGGACTTTGAGGAGGACGGTTTTTGCCCCTGAACTTGGCATCAGCTCCCCAGGCTTCTCCCCTTCGGTGCCCGGGTCAGGGTGATCATCCAGCGACATCGCAGGGAGAGCAAACGACTTCTGAAGGAGGTCTCGTTTTTGCTTCAGCGTTAGTGGGCTACCGCAGGAGAACTCCGGCAGCTCCTCTGGCTTTGAGGATCCTTCGGCGTCCATAGGGTCTTCCAGAGTGATGAGGGCAGGGTCCGTGTTCCCTGCTGACTGATTATTTCCTGAGTCCTTAGAAGAAAAGTCTTTGGAACAATCCTCCACACTTACTTGCACAAGCGGAGTTGTGCTCAGGCTGAGGACGGAAGGATGGCTGGGGATGGCAGGACAGGAGGCAGCATTTTTAGCAGAGGAGCCGTCATTGCCTTGGTTCATCATCTCCTCTTCTTCATCACTCTCGACTATTCTGAGAGGGGGAAGAGGCTCAAATACAAGAGAGTCGCTGTCGGAGGTTGAGAGTATAGAGTGTTTTTCAGGCCCCGATGTTGAATCTGAGGACAGATCTATCAGATCTAAATCCTCTTTAGGAGCAGGCTTTACTGGCGAGTCAACTTTCACCTCAAACGTCTCCATACAGTTTAACCTAACCTCTGGTATGACAGGCCTTCGAGCATCTGGAAACCCTTCCAGAGCTGGGTTCTCGGGGATTTCACTATTGTCAGGCCTCGTAGCAGAGTTCTGTCTAGAACGTCCAGGGTCGTTTGGTCTTTGTGCGACATACGCAGCTTGGGTCAGAGGCTTCTCTATGTCACACCGATCTATGCACGACTTCCTACGATGTTCGTCTAATGTAAACAAAAGCGAGTCTGCATTCCCTATATCAAGAGATTTTTGTTTGAAAGAGCGCAGCTTTTTTTTCGGAATGCTTTCTTCTCTCACACAGTGGAGAAGGCTGTCTTGTAATGCACCCGTCTCTCTATATTCAGCCAGTTCTATTTCACCTGATCAAAACAGAAAAAGCTAGTACTATTTTACTTGGAGATTTCACCATTTTTTCCCCTCATCCTTGGGCATACAATTGGCATAAATCATCATCACAATCCCAGCTCCACCAGGAGGGAAAACGAATTTTCTGGCCAAGTTTTTGGAAGGTTCATTCTAATTTCAAAAACTGGAAAATTTAGGAATGAAAGACACCAAAATGGCAGTTTAAGATCTGATTTCCAAAATCGGACTTCGGGATAATTCCTCAGCTCTGTTCATTTGTGCATAGGAGAGGGGATCATTTTTTGGCTGAGGCAGATCTAGGAAACTGTATTCAAATCGTGTGGAAGAGAAGCAAACATTTTGCAACAAATCAAATCAAGCAATGGCCCTCAAAGACGATCATGACATTAATGATGTATCTGTCGATTCACGTATATATATAACTGTGTATATATATATACTGTTTGTGCATACATATATATAAATCAACGGTATTAAAATGTGTAGTAACATAATAAAATTAAGATTTCACCCCAAACAAACGGTAGAGTACAACATTTCTGCATAAAATTACTAAGAGAAAAAATTCATACTTCTCTGAACATTCATCTCAACCGGCTGATATTTCACCATTTTGCTGCCGCCTATTCTTTTCAATCTTGCAAAAAAAGTTTGAGACTCTTTATTGCAGGGTCCAGTAGGTGTATCATGAATATCAGATTCATCAAAAACACTATCTTCTTCTAATTGGGGAGAGAAAGTCAAAATTACACTTAAGAGGTTATTCTCTCTTAGGCTGTGTCTACACAAGCATTTCAATGAAAGCATTATGGAACAAGGTCTGGGGTAGTTTCTGCACCAGCCCAAGTCTAGCTATGGGTTGGTATTTCATCCAGGCATCAAATTATCTATCTATTGGACAGAGGAAGCTGTTACAAGATTGCCCGTCACTTTTCACATGACAATTGGCAGCATTTTAAAAGAGAGGCTTCTTGGGAGTCCAACAGTGCCTTTTTGGGAAACTTTTCCAGTACGCTTAACACCAGATGACACATAGATGTCAGCTACTTTTTCCAGGAGCCTGTGACACTGCTTGGACTTGCCTGTGTTGCGTGGATTTTCAGGCTGATTTGGCGAAAGGAAATTAAACAAAATGAGTGGATCTTGGCCTTTCCAAAAAAGAAAAAAAAAAAAATCTGCCTTTCTGGGATTTGGTAACTGGCATAGACACAGCCTAACAGTACATGCACCTTATATGGTGTGAATGCAAAATACTGTACTCTACATTTGATAATGAGACACGCAACACACAGAAAAAGCTTAGAAAAGCCACTTGTCATCTCAAAAGCTCCACGAATGATTATGGACTGAAAGAGTAAACAAAGGAAAAAGAAAACAGAAAATAACATTTCCTCCTATTAAAGTAAGACTCTTCTCTGAGGAGTTTACCACATGTAACTATTATGGATCTCATGAATCCCAGAAAGAATCTTTGACACTTACGATCCCTAATCTTACATAAACAAATCGGTCACTTCGAATGCCTATTGAACTTGTTTCTACGTCCTCCCTTCGTATTATACCCATGTGGCCATTTTTAAATCCAAGATAAACCCCAAAATATGTTAATGAGGAAAGAATTGATATGTTGCAACCCACAAAGTTTACTTAACCAATTTTCTTCTTTCATTCTTTTGAAGGGCGAAAGCCACGTACAAAGTGGCAACAGAAAAGGTTACTAAAATACATTTAATAGCACCATAAATGGAGTTAACCTATTATTCAAGTTGAATATCACTGACCTAATAATGTTTGGCCTGTATGTACATCTACATATATGACAGATGAGGCTCAGGTGTGATTATGATTATTCAAGGTTTTTTTTTAGCATAAGGGCATTACATGCATCAAGTTTTAAGGACTCGTTCTGTTCTAATGCACAAAATTCTACAAGTAAATGAAACTTGAAGCAGTAAATTTTAGGTGAAATGACCATAGTAAACTTTTTAATTAAATAAAAATAAATGTTAACAATCAAAATGAATTTGTTTTTAAACCCAGTGAACATCCACAAAGATGGGAACGCCTATCAAATCCCCATGTTTCTGGGAAAACGCAACACAATAATCTGTTTTACTTCTCTATTTCCTTTTTGTAAAAATATTCTTTGAAAAATGCAGTTTTTCCAACCAATAGTTACGTGATTTGCATTACATAACTTTGAAGTGATTTTCCAAACGCATTGAACAATCAATACTGAAAGACCACAAGATGGCGCCTCCCATCCAGAAAGGTTCATCAGGGTTTGGCCCAAACACTAAGCCCACGCTGAAAACATCCATAGCTTAACAGATCTCCCCAATTTCCCAGAGACCAAACCCTAAACTGGTAGACACAATATTCTTCAGGAAGGATCTGAATGGTACCAGAACTTAAAGAACCTAGTTCTCGAGTTCCATCTGTAGCCAAACTAGATTTCTGGAACATTCAGCAATAATAAACAGTGGAACACCAGCTACAATGTACACTTTTGAGACATCTCCAGAGCAGTCCTACCAAAAGAGACTCTACTAACCTCACAAAGGGTCATTGGACACTTGGTTTTCTCCAAAGACTAGATTAAATGATGTCAATTTAAAATCTAGTCAGCCATGATTTCCACTAAAAACGGAAAATATACACCCTGGTCCTTTATGTCGCACCTGAAAACAGGCTGCAATTTTACTCTAGCTAAAGTTGCATTCTACTGCCTCCTTTTAGAAAAAGGTAGCAATAGAAAAAAGTGTTTATAGTGGAGATAACTTACACCTATGCAGCAAAATGTTTCATTTCCCTTGCTTTGAATCACTTTGTATTGCATTAAAAGGCTAGGAAAAAGCACTTCAGCAAACTTAGACTCCATTGAAACTGTATGAGCACAAAGGTCAGGGGCAAACTAGAAACCTATGAAGAATGGCTCCACTGTGTGCCAACCAAGACTTACTTTATAGCCCAAAATCGAGACGCTTCTAATACGTAAGAAAAGGCTTATGAAGGTTCCTGAATCAAACAGCAGAAAATATTTTACAAAATATTATTTCTTACGATATAGGTTTTAGAAGCATATCAATTATTCCTCTCGAATGCTCAATTTTAAAGTTAAAGCAGCAACATTCATGGGAAGCTGGAAAATTAAGAAAGCGATTTTCTTTTTACTTCAGAATGATATCTGGGAACACTCCTGTATCTGATAAGAAAACATTGTCCAGAAATCTATTATGTATTGAAGCTAGGTTTGGGATGCAATTTAGATATGTACCTTTTTCTTTTTCGCTGTATCTGCTTATGTTACTGTTGTCACTGTACAAAGGTCCTGCCGTGGCATGGGGCTTGCAGCTATGATACTGCGCATTGAGTGTATTGACTGTTATGTGAATCAGATGCAGCAGGATCTTGCTGATATCACAGTCTCGGTATGGATACTGCCCAATGAAATGAGGGAGAAAAAGATAAATGGTTATTTTAAAGGGTAAGTTTTTCCACCTGATCTTGCCAGATACTGTTTGCAGTATCTCTTGGGGATAAATATATATATATATATATGAGAGAGAGAGAGAGAGAAAGAGAGAAAGAGAGAGAGAGAGAGAGAGAGAGAAGTAGAAAGAGATTCTGCTCATGGCCTTATTTATTTGTTTAGTTAGAGACAGGGTCTCATTCTGTCGCCCAGGTTGGAGTGCAGTGGTGTGATCATAGCTCACTGCAACCTCAACCTACCAGGCTCAGGTGATCCTCCCACCTCAGCCTCCCAAGTAGGTGGGACCAGGCATGTGCAATGCTTGGCTAATTTTTTGCTGAGACAGGATTTCACCATGTTGCTGAGGCTGGGCTCGAACTCCTGTACTCAGGCAACCCACCCACCTCGGCCTCCCATAAGTGCTGGGATTACAGGAGTGAGCCACCACGCCCTCCTCCATGGCCTTATTTTTACAAGGGACTATATTCCTTTCCTCCTTCACCAAACCACTGACAGCAAGGCATGCCAGTTCATAGTTACAGTTCTTTTCAAGAAAATTATCTGGCATAAACATTTAGCGGGTGAATACAATTTCAGATATCTTCTTTGTTTTCTGAAATAATAATTAATACTTAGATAAAATATGAGACTGAGTATAAACACTATAAACAGAGGTTCTTGATCAATAGCCTACCATTTATCATTCTTTGTTTTAAACATTTTTAGAGCATGTATCGACAGGGCCTCCCATTTGTATTTTCATTTCAATAGCTCTTTGGTTCTTAACAGTGATTGCATATCCTGATCTTCCTTCCAAAGGTCAAACTTTTATGCTACAAAATTTTCAACTAAAGACTCAGGTGTTCTCCTTATGCTGCATGCTCTCTAAGAGAACCACTGCATCTAAAACCGCAGTGACCACCCAGCTCACCTTGTAAAGGATGACAAGCAAGGCCTTCAACCACATCTGCCGGATGTGAGGCTTTAGGGACCAGAGGGAGCAACGAGGTGGCTGTTGGAAATAATGCCGGAGTTGAGGACAAGAGCAGTATTTGAGCACCTGAACCACTAAGGGGAGAAGGTGTTTTCCCAAGTTAATGTTATAGTCCATAACCTGAAATAGAAAAAATATTAACAACTGATGGAAAGCTACAAAGAACACTCAGAAGTCAAAAGGAAAAATGTGAGCCATCCCAGTGGTTAAAATTTTTAACAGGCAAAATATTTAACAGGCACCCCACAAAATATTAAAAGTAATGGCTAGTACGCAAGAAGGAGGAAAAGTCCAACCTCACAAAAAATTTTTGAAACTTGTAAATGAAAATAGTTTTAATCTAATTAATTATTTATTTCAGTACCTATTGAAAATAAAATTTTATCCATTCAACTATTAACCAGAGTCAAACTAGACAATGAAGAAACCTAATACTGGTAACCACCTGCAGAAATGGGAATTCATGGACAACCGGCAATACTTGGTTCAATCTTTGAACCAAGTATTATACCAACCAAACTTGGTACAATCTTTCAGGAGAACAATTTAGCAATATGCATTCAGGAATAAGAAAAAGCACATGCCAGGTGCAATGACTCATGCCTGCAATCCCAGCACTTTGGGAGGCTGAGGCAGACAGATTGCTTGAGCCCAAGAGTATGAGACCAGCTCAGGCAACATGGCGAAACCCTGTCTCTCTACCAAAAATACAGTAAGTTTATTCGGTGTGGTAGCACACACCTATACTCCTATCTACTCGGGAGGCTGAACTGGGAGGATCCTCTGAGTCTGGGATGTCGAGGCTGCAGTGAGCCATGATCATAACACTGCACGCCAGCCTGGGCTACCAGAGTGAGACCCTGTCTCAAAAAAAAAAAAAAGGAAAAAAGAGAAAGAAAGAAAAAGCCCATACCTCCAATACAACCATTAAATATATCCCAAAGAAATAATCAGACAAGTGTTCCAAAATGTATGTTAAAGAAATTCAACATGGCTTTGTTTATAGTCACCCCAAACTGAAATCAACCTCCATATTCAATAATATGGGATTAGACAAATAAAATACTGTTTGTATAACTACAGAATACTATGTAAGCATTACACAGAATATGACACAAATTTATTTACATGATATAAACTTCATAAAAAATTTCAGGTTTAAAAAGGTTGCACCAAAATCTCAGAAATCACCACTAAAGAACTTAACCATGTAAGCAGACACCACCTGTTCGCCAAAAACTCATTGAAACAAAAAAATTTTAAAAAGGTGGCATATATATCAGTATGTATAATATGAACCTATTATTGTAAAAATGTGTGGACATACGTATGTGAGTATGAAATTTATGTATGTATATAAATGGAGGGAGCAATATATGCCAAAATATTAGGAAGTTATTTTTGACACAGGTTTTCTGGAGTTATATAAACCCCATATAAAAATTTAATTTTTAATGTTTAGCTTATATATACATATATATATATTTTTTGAGATGGAGTCTCACTCTGTCACCCAGGCTGGAGTTTAGTGGTGTAATCTTGGCTCACTGCAACCTCTGCCTCCCAGGTTCCAGCGATTCTCCTGCCTCAGCCTCCCCAGTAGCTGGGACTACAGGCGCACATCACCACGCCTGGCTAATTTTTGTATTTTTTAGTACAGATAGGGTTTCACCATATTGGCCAGGCTAGTTTTGAACTCCTGACTGCATGATCTGCCCATCTCGGCCTCCCAAAGTGCTCGGATTATAGGCATGAGCCACCATGCCTGGCCTCGATTTTAGCTTTTATTTCTAAAGTAAATATGCATAATGTGGATTTAGAGGGTGGGGGGAAGAGGGAGGGAGGGTTTGGTATCTGAAACAGTGACAGCTGAGAAAAAGCGGTGATCCATCCAGTTATCAGCATCAGCACAGGACGACTACATGCACATTGCTCTCACGCTGCTTATCTTTGTTCATTACATTACAATCTATTTGAGCTAACTGACAATAACAGCTATCATCTATCAAGTTCCTACCATGAGACAGGCATGAATCAAGGTGCTTTGCAATAGGTTTTCTCTAATCTATCAAAAAAGGAAATCTGTGTTACCAATAAGCAAGCAAGCAGAGAGTGCCTAAGCCCTAGCAGCTAATAACAGAGGCGGAGCTGAAATTCATATCCGCATCTCTCTAGCCCCAAGTCCTGTATTTTTACAGATTGGTGCAGCTGTTCTGGAGAGTGAGATTTGTAGCACTGACCAAATTAGGCATACATTTACCCTACGACCCAGCAATTCTTCTGGATCCATCTCCGTAAGGAATTCTCACATTGGCTGATAAGGTGCGTATACATAGATGCCTATTACTGAACTGTTTGGGGTAGTGAGGCATTGGGAGCAATATGAGTCCATCACTAGGGGAATGGATGAGTAAAGTATGGTGTCTGTCCACCATGGCATGCAATACAACAGTTAGAAGTAGCAGACACACATGGAAAAGCCAGTGATGATGGTGTGGCAAAAAGATAAGTTGTATGATTAATTCAGCTCTCTCCACCTGAAACCAAAAAAGGAAAAGGTTTTTTTTAAAACAAAACAAAACAAAACAAAACACACACACACACACACACACACAAAACCACAGAAACACAAACAAAAAAGGCCAGGTGCGGTGGCTCATGCCTGTAATCCCAGCACTTTGGGAGGCCGAGGTGGGCGGATCATTTGTGGCCAGGAGTTCAAGACCAGCCTGACCAACACGGGGAAACCTCGTCTCTATTAAAAATACAAAAAAATAAGCCGGACGCGGTGGCAGGTGCCTGTAGTCCCAGTTACTTGGGAGGCTGAGGCAGGAGAATGGCGTGAACCCAGGAGGCGGAGCTTGCAGTGAGCCGAGATTGCGCCACTGCACTCCAATCTGGCAACAGAGCGAGACTCCGTCTCAAAAACATAAATAAATAAATAAATAAATAAAACCACACCCACAAAAAATAATCCTATACTCTCTTATTGTTTAATGGATACAGAGTTTCAGTTTAGGATGATAAAAACGTCTGAGGATGGACAGTGGTGATGGTTACACAACATAAAAGTACTCAATGCCACTGAACTATACACTTAAAACTGTTAAAATGGCAAATTGCAGGTATATTTTACAAAACAAAAAAATCTCCCACACTCCCTTGATGATACCAGGCTACCAATTCTTTTTTTTCTTTTTTTTTTTTTTTTACTGTGAAAGAAAATGTTTAATAAAATGGCAATTTTAATAGATAAATGTAAATTTGAGTGTGTAAAACCAAATGGAAAGTAGCTGAAACACACAGAGAAAACAAGCCTTTCCATAGCTCCAACTTCAGCTGTTTTACACTAAACAAAATATTGGAACATGTGAATATTAGAAACTCCTTTTAACTGGAAAGATTTCTTCAGTAAGATACAATTGAAATTAATATAAACTAAAATTATAATTTTTAAAATAGAATTAACCAAATTTAAGTATTTTTAGTTAGCAAATGAAAAAAAAAATGAGCACAGTGATCTAGAAACCAAATATACTGTCTGGGCACGGTGGCTCACGCCTGCAATCCCAGCACTTTGGGAGGCCGAGGCAGGCGGATCACGAGGTCAGGAGATCAAGACCATCCTGACTAACACGGTGAAACCCCGTCTCTACTAAAAATACAAAAAAATAGCCGGGCGTGGTGGCAGGCGCCTGTAGTCCCAGCTACTTGGGAGGCTGAGCCAGAAGAATGGCGTGAACCCGGGAAGCAGAGCTTGCAGTGAGCCAAGATCACGCCACTGCCCTCCAGCCTGGGCGACAGAGCAAGACTCGGTCTCAAAAAAAAAAAAAAAAGAAAAGAAACCAAATATACTAAAATGATTATGTAACTATCATATCAAGGTACAGACATTCTTCATATGCTACAAGGTTAGCATATCTCTCTCTTTCTCTCTCTCTCTCTCTCACACACACACACACAGTCTCTCTCATTCTCTCTCTCACTATTTCTCAGTCAGACTACCAATTCTTACTAATCTTCACATTCCCCTCCACATACTCCTGCATAACACCGAGCAATTTGTACAAACCTTTATGCTGAACCAGTGTTGGCTACATAGTACGTAATGCCTTGTTTCTACTAAAAGTATAAGGGTATGACTCCCGAAAGCTGTTATTACACTCACTTGGGCAATTCCTGCAATGAATGCATTAAAGCAAGTTGACAGGCGCATTTTTTGAGGTGCAATCATGAAGCAACCTTCCTGCTGGTCATAGCCGAGTAAGACGTACAGGTGTCGCTTGACCGTGTTGAAGGCCTTTGCACTGCTGATGTCTGACTCGGCGCTGCTCTCGTCCTTGGCCATGAACTTCATGAGCACTGTGATCAGCTGGTGAACTGTCTGGTGGTCGATCCCAGCGTCTTCTGGGAGCAGGTCCTTGATGGTGTTGTCATTCTCGGGAGACTGTTGTCCTGTCAGTAGAAGAAAGGCTGTGAGTGGGTGACTTGTTCACAAGTGAAGTGACACTAAAATCTCCCTTATATATTGAAAAAGCACCCTTGTTTCTGCTTCTACAAAACTTTCTGCTCCAGACAGAATTTAAGAAACTTAAAGGCACAATATGGCCTTGTAGGCAGAGCCCTAGTCCGGGGGTGAAAGTTACTGTATTCGTCAACAACCAAGTAATCTGGGAGAATTAAGGGAATGGCAATAAAAATAGGGTGCTATGAAGCAATATTATCCTGAAACAGCAAGACAAATGCCTAAATACATTTTGCATTTAGCACATTTTTTAACACGTTGGCAAAGTTTTATCCTCAGTGATAAAGGAAGTTTCCCTTCCAGCTTTGTAAAATAAGCATGTAAGAATAACCACAAAACACTATAGTCTAAAATCTACTGAGGGCAAAACCACTGGGTTCTTCTGTTTAAATTATTATCTCAATTCAGTTATGTTCATGAATCAGCTAGTGCAAAAAAAAAAAAATCTTTTCCAAACCCTGAGATATTAGCAGTAGGTTCTCTTTAAATGAAATAGTCAAAATTATAAATAGCAAATTATAAGCCCTGTTGTATGTCATGAGAAACATACAAGGAAGGGAGAGGACACAAACAGAAAGAGAGCGAAGCATGAACTTTTAAAAACAGAAAAACACCACATGAAGGTGAGCGGAAAGTTCACATGGAAAGAAAAAATACCTTAGCCCTTGGCTTCCTCTTAACCTAGTAAATAACGGCATCTTAGCAGCTCCCTGACAATTGACTTTCTCTGTTATTTTTCAAAGTCAGAAATTACCCTGTCTCCTTTTTTTCTTCTGCCCCTTCTTATCAGGTTTGGTTTAGGACTTTGGGAGAAGGAAGACTGATATTTGCTCTTCTATATTTATGGTTTGGGGATTATTCAAAATACTCTTTCCTTTTTTTTTTTCTTTTTTTTACAGCAACATTAGAATATCTAAATTGAAAATAAAAGTTTTGTCTGGTGGGTTAGATCAGCACACCGGCATTCTCATCTCTCATCCTGCAAGGAAACGTTCTACTAAATGATGACAAGCTTTGGTTACAAACCATTATAAACCAAGCCTTGGTTACATCCATTATAATTATGGTGTAAAGGATGCAACAAAGAGTTAGGTAGTAACTTATACCTATTAACTCCTCAGTTAATTTGGCAAAGTCTCAGCCTTCCAGGACACAGCCAAGAGAAGCGAGGCATCAGAAATGTTTCTGGGAATTGCAGAAATTTGCTGTCTCAAGCCCAAATACTTTTTCTCTGGGATAGTAGCATGAAGGTCAAATTCAGAATTTACCAGTTTAGACCTGCACATAAAGTAACAAGCTTGGTTGTCGAGTTTCCCAGAGAATCAGATGAATGTTGGTCTGTTCAAAAGTGAACTGCTGAGAAGGGATAGTTGACAGTAAGTGAAGAGGCAGCAGAGGCAGCTTAGTGTAAGAGCCTCTAATACAGAGAAAACCATCTGACACACGTCAGTATGATTCCAGGACACTCACACTTTTCTGTCTCATAGAATCTGTGCATGAAGGAATGAATATGTATGATGCACTTTAGAGAAACTTTTTATCAAAAATTATTCAAATAAAACCTAAGGATTTGTTTATTACAGTGTTTCACATGCAGGGTGATCAATAAATTGTTAATATAATTACTTATAAGGCATGCATCAGGAAAAAAATCAATGTATGTGGAACACCCTATTTCAATGAGAGGCTGGAAATGTAAAGCATCACAGCATGTGGTTAAATTAAATGTTTGTAATATAGGATTTGACCAAATACAATACCTATCCTTGTAAGGCAAAATAGAAAAAGTTTACAGGGCTATTTTTTCAGCATTGAAAAATAGTTTACTGAGGCTGGGCATCATGGCTCACACCTGTAATCCCAGCAGTTTGGGAGGCCAAGGTGGGAGAATCACTTGAGCCCAGGAGTTTGAGACCAGCCTAGGAAACATGACAAGACCTGGTCTCTACAAAAAATACAAAAATTAGCTGGACATGGTGGTGCACACCTGTAGTCCCAGCTACTCGGGAGGCTGAGGCAGGAGGATCACTTAAGCTTGGGAAGTTGAAGCTGCAGTGAGCTGTGATTATGCCACTCTACTCCAGCCTGGGCAACAAAGAAAGACCTTCTCTTAAAAAAAAAAAAAAAAAGAAAAAGAAAAAAAGAAAAAAGAACAAGAAAAGAAAAACATTTAGTCTTGATTTGTTTTTCCACTAGAGTATTACTTTACAACTAGAAGGACATTATTGCTTTGGACATGTTTGGGCCAAGAATATGACAGGACTCCCTGCAGGGTTCAATGTTATTGTAGCAGCAAGTAATGGCTGTTACAATATAGCTTCAGTCTTCAATTCCTTTTAGCTCTGGGGTGCAAAGTTGAAGCGAACATGTATCACTCAGTCCTGCTCAGCCACCTCATGTCCACAATGGCTCAACAACAAAGTCCCAAAGTTAGAAACTGGAACCAGAGAGTGTTTGAGAGGAAGTTGCTCCTTTGTTTTATAGTACTGAGAATCTAGGAACCTCAATACAGAAGAAAGGGAGCTCCCAGCAAGGCCCAACTGGGACCCTGCTCCTGTTTCCTTCCATCCCAATTCAAGTCTAGAAAATAGACCATCAGACTTCAGCTTAAACATTTCAAAACTCTTCTTCTTATTACAAGTGGGCATGTTTCTAAACAATGTGTAACCCTGAGTTTTCCCATCACATCAGATTTTCCCGATGACTGTCATTTCATACATGCCCATCTCACTGTAGATCATTTTCACGGATCTTAAGTTTGCTGCTTTCCCTGAATAGCAAGAATTGAGTGATCTTTAACAAATGTACTGAAAAAAGAACATTTATGTAAACTTCTGCATAAAAAATTTTTAATCTCTTTTTATTCTAGTAATTTACCCCTCCAGTGTGGGCTTTGCAAGTCTATACTTTGTTTATTGCCTCTCTTTGAAATAGAGTAAGCTTGTGACTGGTGCACTCTTCATAAAGACAAGTTACCTTAATCAAATCCCTAAGAAAAATGAGCTGTGGATAAGCGGAAATGTTCTCTATTGATAAAGACAATATTAATATTTTAACCTAGAAAAGGTATGAAATTTCCATTTTAAAACTAAATGCCTACAAGTATTTTCTCTAAGGAAAACAAAACGCTTAATAGTTTTGAATTCTAGTCTGTGAAATTTCTATATCTGTCCTAACCATAAAGATTTAACATGTTAAAAGGTCTAATTTTATATTTTCTACAGAGAAAATATAATTATATTTATAATTATAATTATGGAGGCAGAGCTATACCTACCATACCTTTAATGTGGAGTGAGTCCATTACAATCTGTCCACAGAGCTGTATAACTGATTGAAACTCCAAAGTGTAATACAACATTATTTATTCAGATGATTTAAAACCAGGCAGGATCAGGATCTGCTTTTCCAGACTTATCTCCTATTATTTCACCCGAAATGGTCAACATTCTTACAAGCTCGTGGATCTCAGAATGGAGCCAATGTTTTTCCCTCTTTGCACCTTTGCTCATGGTGCTCTCTTCACCTTGCAAAGTGGTTCTCTACCCTCCCCCAACAATTTGGTACTATAAACAGGTCCCCAAAAGCCATTCTTATTAGATATACCCAATATTCCTCTCAGCAATTCTATGTGATCCCTAAATTCTTTAAATTTCTAAGGACAAGAAAGGAGGGAGGACAGAAGAGAAAAAGAAGAAGGGAGGAAAATTTCCTTTAGCATTTTCCTAACTCCCATGTGGCCAATAACAATTTTGCAAGGCAGAACATTTTATCTATTCAATTGCCTTAATACTCCAATAACAACATAGGCTTCTTGAAGGCAAATGACATATTTTATCCATTTTTATATCCCTCACAGAATAGGGGCCAATGTCTGACATATAGTAGATAACTATTATACATAAATGTCTGTCAAAGTGCACTAAATTCGAATAAATATGTCAGAGCTTACATTCTGTATAAGAGAAAAATTGATAGAGTCCCAAAACAGCAGGAATATGGGAACGTTTCTCTATGTGAATTGACTCACTGACCCCTCTGCCAAACCAACAAGTGACAATTAGGTAGAGGAAGAAAGGATCCTTCCATGAGCTTACTCTGCACTTGGTCCAGGGCAGCCAATGAGTAAGCACTATAAATGAGGTTCCATTCCATAGGCAGCTCTCACTACACTGCCTCGCTCATCTCCCTGCCTCCTTACCTCAGTGTTCGGTTATGTGTGCACACATCCACAGCAGGGCTGGAAAGCCAGGGCAGTGGCTAACTTCATATCCTCCTATGCTCCCCATCCCTACCTTTTCTCCTTCCTATTCCACATTGTATCATCATAAGTTTACGTCTCATCCACCAATCAAGCCTGGCTGAAAAGCCACCTGTCCACGAGACCTTCCCTGATGTCTCCAGCTGGTAGAAAGCTCCCTCCCTTTGCATTTGACATGACTCATCCTACGTACTGTCACTTTCACTCAAGATGAGAGTTTACTGATGTTCATACTTAATATCCCTTACTTGGCCATAAGTAAGTTAAGAGTATAAAAATTTCCAAAGCATCTTTGTATTTCCTAGTCCAGCAGGTGTAAAATAAATATTTGTTGAACAAGCATTTGTGGCACACACCTGTAATCCAAGCTACTTGGGAGGCTGTGGTGAGAGGATCCCTTGAGCCCAGAAGCTCAAGACCAGCCTGAGCAACACAGCAAGACCCCAACTCAGAAAAAGTATTTGTAATGTTTGTTGAACAAAAATTGTCAATTCCCAAAAATATAACTTCAAACAAGAGTATTCCTATAAAAACAACTGTACTCTGATTTACTGGATCTTAATGGTCAATAGGCATTTTGCAAGTTAGTGAAGAAGTGAATTGTAAACCATCTGTAGAAAGAAGGAGCCCAAAGAAAAGTTATTTGGAATTCTAGGCTGGGACACCAAGAAGACAGGAAAGGTCAATGCAAGAGTGCTTTATTGGTCCTAATGAGCACTGGGCACCTTCTCTTATGGATATAAATGCAGGCCAAGAGATCTCTAGGTTTCTCTGCAGGCTGTGGCAGAACTCAGAGTATGCAAGTCCCACAAGAAATGGGGATAGCTCTGGACCAATCTGGGGTCCTAACTGGCAAAGTCCTTTGGTCTGGACACTCATGGCCTTAAGCCACTCTGTAGCAGGCCTGAAAGCCCAGGCCAACTCCATAACCAGATTGGTGTCCTCATGTCCCACAGGGCAGAAATACCCTAAGACCAGTTCATCGAGAGGTAGTTGTGGTAGAAAGCAAGCAAGGCAAGTCCCTTGGATGCCGGCTTCCGTTCTGATCCTAACTAGTCAGTCATACATGACCTTAAGCAATCACCGAAGCAGAATCACTTAATCCCTCACTACATCAGTTTTCCTGTAAGTAAAGAGATACTATATATACAGGAAGGATTATCATTATTACATACCTATTTTTGTTTAATTATGCACTCCAGGCGATGAGGAACACGATATAATTAAGCATCCTATGTTCACATGGGACTGATACCGTTAGTTCAGTATTGTGCTTATATAGCATAACAACTGCTGCATTCTATTCAATTAATCTTCATCGGTGTTCTAAATACATGAAGACAAAATTTCCTGGTTCTTACAGCACCAGTGAAAGTACTCCCTATGTCCAAGCATACAAATTGTAGATTAGCAGTTAAAAAGATTGTGTATCCCATCAATTAGGATGAAATGAAGCTGCTGAATTCCTACTGGCAGTTACATGCCTTGTTACAGAGCTCAGGACCTCTGGGCTTGAGACCCAGATCTGTCACTAATAAGCTTGTTCTTTTGTAAGAATCTCAGTTTCTTCATCTACAAAATGAGACTGTTAACACATCGCTAATGTTTCAGCTATAAGATTCTATGAATTTTATTTAGATGCACAAAGACTTTGATTTGAAAAGACATAGAGGAACGTGATTCTCTACAAACCTTGCAGAGTATACCTTCTATAGAAAATAGAATTTTCTATTCCATTTTCTGTGGGTACCATGTAAAGGTTAAGATCAGAGAGTCATAAATTGTAAATCCACTGCCAAAAAGTTCAACCTAAACAGCAATTAAATTTAAATCTTGTTGTATAAAGGGGCATCTGCTTTATTTCAAGTCTAATCAACAAGAGGTCTGCAAAGAGGAGCTCATTACTTGGACCAAACGAAAGTATGGTAGCAAGTTCTTCAGTTTCCATTTAATTACTGTCTTAAACCATTCTCCACAATCTTATGATAAATCTGGTATGTACTTGCTTCCAAGTTAGAAAGAGTCAGGGTCCAGTAAATAATAATGCAAAAATGGAACACTACAGTAGTTTGAAATTGCCTTATAAGCTGAGCCAGCTATTTCCATATCTAAGCAAGTTTTGCTTATGCTGGTGTCATGTAAATTACCTTTCCTGAAGTTTTAGCTTCACATTTAATTTAAACAATGCTGTTATCTGCCTCTTTTCCATCTGGCCACTTTTGGTGGAATAATTAGATGCCTGAAGGCTTTTTTTTAACTGCAAGAAACACATGTACATGTTGTCCCACAGTGATATGAGGGGACTTCTCAGGCTGGATTGTTTAAATGGATAATTATTATGAAAGACTAGCTTCTCAGCTAAGTTTTAAGAGACAAGCTAGAGTAAAATAAAGATAATTTACGAAACTGCCTAAGAACAACCTCAAAAATGCCTCACTGAAGGGAAACTGCATGGATTTCATATTTCTAATGAAGCTTTGAATCAGAAGTTCTTATTTCTATTCTTTAAAACGAAAAAAATCACAGCACAGTAGTGTACATGAGCGATGTGTAAGGCAAGGTAGAGGGACTCTACCAAATGTTTGCTATTCCTTTTTTCGCATCAATTGTAACAGAGAAAAGACTTTGGCCACCATCTGCTGTCTGCATAGATGATCTCTGGGATTTTCTCTCTCCCCTCCCACTCCGGACTCCCTCTCTTTCAAACATCCTTTTTATAACGCATAACGCACGTGATCTTTAAAGTCTCCTTACTTGAAATTTTCCTTCTGAGAGTGTGTGCACCATTCTGAAAAGTTTATCATAAAACTAGTAGTTTTAGATGAAAACTCAAATGTTCTATAGCATGACACATAGTTGGTAGTTACCAGATTTGTTTTTGACTAATAAGTAGGTATTCAGAACCTTCACAGTCTTCCCAGTGAGTCACGGCACCATTCGCGTGGAGCCTCCTTGCCAATACCCCTTCAACTCTTAGGCTACTTCATGATAAATTGTAATATATCACAGAACATCAAATGATCGTTAAAGTGTATCATGCTATGGTCCTCCAAACAGAGGAAATTCTCCTTTCTCTGAGAAACAGAAATGCATGTAGAGTTGCAAAGAATCAGGAATGGCTAAGGGGATGAGCGGATGACAGTGGTTCAAATGTATAACCTTTTAAAATGTAAATGAAATGTATGGTTTTCCTATAGCAGATATATATGAACAAAATATTTCTATGTGTAAAGACACATACAAATATCAATACTACGGATAGCTCTAGTCATACTGGCTCTCTGGGGAAAGGTGCAGACTCAGGTGATATGATGCTTCTTACTGGACCAAAAGTTAATGGAATCAAAAGTCATCTGCTAATATCAAAATGGAAAGAATTGCCATATCAGGGGCTCAAACACTTGAACATCTGAGGTAAAACCCTTTTGAGCTTGCAAATCCTAAGTATATCACCCTGGTCCAGTTAGAGACACCACATTCTCTACCTTGTCCACCTGTGATAGACACTTGTACATGGCCCTTCAATGTCAGAAGTACCCACCTGGCGTCTGTTCGGGTGTCCCACCGAGAGCTGGAGCAGACTGCTCATGCCTGGTCAACCTCATAGCTTAAAAATCAACAACAACTCTATTGAAATAAGCATTACAGACAACTGGAGCCTAGAAAATATACTCAGTGCTAACTGTATTGGATAGTAGGGGCAGGTTTCGTTTTTCTATTTGTAATTAACATCACATAAAAGTTGTTTATGTAACGAAAGTTTTGCAGTTTTTATCTGAATCATAAGAACATCCTTCAATGTTACTTCATCTTCAAAATGGTCATGTGAATTAATGAACAAGAAACGACAAGAAACAAACTTTACATTCCAAACTGATCAGTTAGGATATAAATAGAGCTGGAAAACTCATATAAAATTAGTTATGTATTTAATTTGGGTATTGGTTTCTAGGATTTAAACAGTTTCACCTGGGGCCTGGCACTACCATTGGTTATTCTTAAATGATCACCTGTGATTATCTTTGCTCCCTGAAAAACTGGGTTATTGATTACTTAAAGAACTTTCATTCATATTTAACTCTCCCAAAGTTTAAAAGAACACATTGCCATAGCTTGTCATAAAACAGAGAAAATGTAATGAACAAAATCAAATCATATTTATGATTTAAAATGGTTATGTTATATAAGGCTGTCTTCTAATAAATGCCAATGAAAAACAAACCTTTCAAATTCTGACAGGGTAAGAAATAGGTTTGGGGTCATTATTTTATTTACTTCACAGTGATTATTTAAAGATTAAATCATTTAATAAATTTTACAAGTTAGTAATATATTTAAACATACTCATTCATTAGTATGGTGATTTAGTAATGAATTTGTAATTATTTGTCCTTCATGAGTCATTACTAATCGTTAAGAGTTTATCTAGTCATTTGGTAATTTAAGGAAAATTTTATTCTCTTTAAAACTATAATATAAAGAAAGACCTTTTATAGAACAATTATATATGGTCTTTTTAAAAATATTGGCAATGAAGCTTATTTTTATTTATAAATTATCTGTTGAAGACGAGCAGAAATTCAATTTCTCAGCCTGATTTCTCTATTTCAAAAGCAACCATTATTATTGGTTTGTCTTGGGGGGCTTGTGTGGCTGCTTCTATCAGACATGAAAAAAAACTACATTCCAAATTTCAACTCTCCCTCCTTAGCCGCCATAGGTCTTATTACCTAAGTCGTATTCAGACAGCTCTTAGGATACAAGGCTGGTGGTGCAAACTTTGGTGTTCTAGGACTTAGGAGCAAATGTTTCTTCTAAGTTGCATGCCAAGCATCAATGCATTTGCTGCCTTTTACATTTCAAAAACATCTACTGTTAGATCAGGGCTCTGCTACCCCAGCAAACTAGCAAAAGCAACCCTAGGCATTTATACCCCTGGTGATTCTCTAGGGAATCTGAAAGCCAAACTTATTGAACAAACTCAGTTTACTGAACATGCTATACTCTCTGTGAACATTTAACAAGACAGGTCAGCCTCAGAAAGACATTAAACAGATTTAATGGAAGGATGAAAGAAGATACTCAACGAATTTTGGAGGTCAGGGTCTCAGGGAGGGAGAGTGCCCTCTTGGATTCCACGGGCCCTTTCACACTGTCCCTCAGGGAACGTACACTCTTCTGGCGGTTTCTTGCAAAGCGAGCTCTCTTGATCTTCCATAAGGCTGCATCGCTGAGGTTAGCAACGTTGGTCCTCACAGCAGTGATGGCTTTGCAAAAGGAATTAAAGAGACTATCACTCTCCTTTACATAGGGCTATGTAATCCACCTAGTCTAAAACAATCCATCTGTGTAGAGTTTCAATATTAACATACATTTTTCATGGATATACATCTCCCTCTCTGATGAGTCCTACATAAAAAAATGACTATTGCCTATCATGATTTTTTTTTCTGCTTAGACCACAAGATTAAATTATCTAATTTTGTTATCATTGGACAGTTGAGTGACGAAAGTCTTTTCTCCACCTATTCAGAGCTGTAGGTAACTGATTAATAGCAAGAGGCCAGGTGTGGTGGCTCATGGCTGTAATCCCAGCACTTTGGGAGGCCATGGTGGGAGGATTCCTTCAGGCCAGGAGTTTGAGGCCAGCCTGGGCAATACAGCAAGACTCCCATCTCTACAAAAAAGGAAAAATTAGCCAGATATAGCGGCTCACCCCTGTAGTCCTAGCTACTTGGGAAGATTAGCTGGGAGGATTGCTTGAGCCCAGGAGTTGGAGGCTGTAGTGAGCTATGATGACACCACTACACATCAGTCTGGGCAACAGATTCAATGCAATTCCCATCAAAGTACTATCATCATTCTTCACAGAGCTAGAAAAACAATTCTAAAATTCATATGGAACCAAAAAAGAGCCCACATAGCCAAACAAGACTAAGCAAAAAGAACTAATCTGGAGGAATCACATTACTGGAGTTCAAACTATACTACAAGTCTGTAGTTACCCAAACGGCATGGTACTGGTATTAAAATAGGCTTGTAGACCAAAGGAATGGAACACAGAACCCAGAAACAAAGCTAAATACTTACAGCCAACTCATCTTCAACAAAGCAAATAAAAACATATAGTGGGGAGAGGGCACCCTATTCAACAAATGGTGCTGGGATAATTGGCAAGCCACATCTAGAAGAATGAAACTGGGTACTCATATCTCACCTTATACAAAAATCAACTCAAGATAGATCAAAGGCTTAAATCTAAGATCTGAAACCACAAAAATTCTAGAAGACAACATCAGAAAAACTCTTTTAGATGTTGGCTTAGGCAAAGAGTTCATGACCAAGAACTCAAAAGCAAATGCAACAAAACCAAAAATAAACAGACGGGACCTAATTAAACTAAAAAGCTTCTGCACAGCAAATGAAATAATCCACAGAGTAAACAGACAACCCACTGGAAAGGGAAAAATATTCTCAAACTATGCATCCAATAAAGGACTAATATCCACAATCTATAAGGAACTCAAACAAATCAGCAAAAAATAATGATAATAATAATAACAATCCCATCAAAAAGTAGGCAAAGGACATGAATAGGCAATTCTCAAAAGAAGATATACAAATGGCCAACAAACATATGAAAAAATGCTCAACATCACTAATTATCAGGGAAATGCAAATTAAAACCACAATGAGATACCACCTGACTCCTGCAAGAATGCCATAATTTAAAAATCCAAAAATAATAGATGTTGGTGGGGATGTGGTAGAAAGGGAACACTTTTACACTGTTGGTAGGAGTGGTAATTGGTACAATCACTATGGAAAATGGTATGGAGATTCCTTAAAGAACTAAAAGTAGATCTACCATTTGATCCAGCAATCCCACTACTGGGTATCTACCTAGAGGGAAGGAAGTCATTATAGGAAAAAGGTATTTGCACATGCATGTTTATAGCAGCACAGTTTTCAATTGCAAAAATATGGAACCAGCCTAAATGCCCATTAACCAACAAGTGGATGAAGGAAATGTGATATATATATATCGTGAATACTACTTGGCCATTTAAAAGAATGAAATAATGGCATTCACAGCAATCTGGATGGAGTTGGAGACCATCATTTTAAGTGAAGTAATGCAGAAGTGGAAAACCAAATATCATATGTTCTCACTGATAAGTGGGAGCTAAGCTATGAGGATGCAAAGGCATAAGAATGACAGAATGGAATCTGGGGACTATGGGGGGAAGGGTGGGAGGGGGGTGAGGGATAAAAGACTATACATTGGGTACAATGTACAATGCTCAGGTGACGGGTACACCAAAATCTCAGAAATTGCCACTAAAGAACTTATCCATGTAACCAAAAACCACCTATGTCCCCAAAACTATTGAAATTTAGAAAGCATGCAAGAGTGTGTTTGCAAGGTGCAAATATGCTTCCTAAAATTGCCACAAACGTTATAAACATAATGACTGAATCATATTTAGGGAACACACAGTCATAAATGGTTATCATAGGTCAAGGAAAAGAGAAGAATTCTGATTTGGGAATGCCAGGATATGCTTAAATCTGTGGATTACTACAGCAGTTATTCAATAAGCATTTAATGAGCTGAGTGCAAGAGGTCAAGGCATCCTCTGTAGAGGAGTTAAATGACATGCCAATGTCTTCTGTTTGTCTAGGCAAGCACAATGGAACCGTAATGGTTTACAGCAAGTTCTTCATTTTACTTACTTGTAGGAAAAGGAAATTCCTTGTTACAATCCAAATGTAGCTGGGCTTCCAAAGAAAGTGTCTCAAATCTATTGACAAAGAACTCCCAGCTCAAAGCAGGAATATCCTGCTTAAGAAAATGCAAGAGTAAAAGCTTGCTCAAAATTGTGGGTCTGTCTTTAACCACAGTATCAAACTGGAAGTCAAGACAAAGACACAGACCCTGGGAAAGAGAAGAAAAAAAAAGAAGAAGAAAGTCAGATATAAACATCTAAGTTATTTCAAAGCTGATATACTAGGCAAAGTCAATGAAACAAGGCAGCCTACTCAATTCAAACTTATAATGTAGAATGATCCCACTGGAATCTTCTTTGATTGGAAGTTTTCGTAGGAAAGAAAAATGTAGAAGAGGAATTTATCTTCATTGTAGAATATCTCTCGAATTTTGATTCAGAAATCTGAACTAAATGCATGCTATTGGTTTCCTAATGCATTAAATAATAACCACTTAATCCAAATACCCTCAAGTCAATGCATCTGGTTTTTTGTTGTTGTTGTTTATTTGTTTCTTTGTTTGTTTTTTGAGATGGAGTCTCACTCTGTCGCCAAGGCTGAAGTGCAGTGATAGGATCTCAGCTCACTGCAACCTCTGCCTCCTGAGTTCAAGCAATTCTCCTGCCTCAGCCTCCCGAGTAGCTGGGACTACAGGTGTGTACCACCATGTCCGGCTATTTTTTTGTATTTTTAGTAGAGACGAGGTTTCACTGTGTTAGCCAGGATGGTCTCAATCTCCCGACCTCGTGATCTGCCCGCCTCGGCCTCCCAAAGTGCTGGGATTACAGGCGTGAGCCACCGCGCCCGGCTGCATCTGGTTTTAATGTCTGTAGCCATTAAGAGGAACATACTTTCAAAGCTACATTTTAGAATACACAAAAAGATGGTCTAGAAATCCACTTTCAATCCAAAATTTCATGATTCTGAAAAAAGCAAAGTCACCTGGTTTTCTTGGAATGTGAGTGGAACATAGAATGTTAATTAAAGTTGGAATGGATTGAGAACTCTTTCCTTGAGTTGACCATTCCCCCTCTTTTTAATAGAATGAGATTTAGAAATTGCAATTCATCCAAACATCCCATTCATTAATTCAGCTGTCATCTAATGAGTGCCTCCTATGTTCCAGGCCCTAAGCAAGCGGTAGGACATGGAAGTACCTGGTAAGATCAACAGAGAAGAACTATTCAGAAGTCAACTGGAGATTTTACAAAAAAAAGAATGTGCCACAGGCAGCATAACCCTTCAGTCTTTCAGATTGTGCAAGCTTGCCCTTGCTTCTTGGTCTTAAAATGCAGGAAGAAGCTTACACTGGATTGGGAGACAGAGTATGCACAAACACACATGCACACACACACACACACACACACACACACACAGTTAAGTATGTGGACTGTATTATGAATCAGTGCTGAATTTCCTCTGCTGCTAACTAGCTATGTGACTCTGAAAAGGTGGCTTAACCTTTCTAACCCTCAGCATCTCTATCTGTAAAATGAGAACACACAAAAGGTCACTGTGAGGATTAAATGAGATAATGCATAACAGGACACTTTTAACACACTGCCCTGGAAACACAGTAGCTATCTGAGGAATGTTAGCTCTTGCTATCACTAGTTTAATAATAACAACAAAATAATAAATCAGATGCAACATGGAGAAACAGTAGATCAGAACTTTGGAGACTCTAGTCTTGATTCTCTCACTAAATTACTTTGTGTCCTTTGATAAGTCACATTCTCTCTCTGAGACTTGGTGTCACCACTAAAAAATAAAGGTTCCAAATAAGATAAATATACCACTCTATCCAGGCCTCATATTTCTTGTCTCCTTGGCTTTAATTTGTGATGTTTTGTTATGGTAGCATATTTACCTTCTCATGTTTTACACTGATTGAAACTATAATTCAGGCCAGGCGCAGTGGCTCAGGCCTCTAATCCCAGCACTTTGGGAGGCCGAGGCAGACGAATCACTTGAGGCCAGGGGTTTGAGACCAGCCTGGCCAACATAGCAAAACCCTGTCTCTACTAAAAATACAAAAATTAGCCAGGTGTGGTGGCATAAGCCTGTAGTCCCAGCTATTCGGGAGGCTAAGGCATGAGAATCACTTGAACCCAGGAGGTAGAGGTTGCAATGAGCTGAGATTGCACCACTGCACTCCAGCCTGGACAAGAAAATGAGACTCTGTCTCAAAACAAAACAAAGCAAAAAACTATAATTTATTTGATTTCTCTTAGCATCTAGCCTCTAACAACAGGGGCCTCCAGCCCAGGAGCTGGCTAAGTGGTGTAAGATAAACCAAACTAGTTTTAAAATCTGCCACACACACACACACACACACACACACATTATGCAATAGTTACATCTGTCCAAAGTAGTATCAGCATATGAACAAAGACTGAAAAGAAAGTATCAACAAATGGGCCAGGTAGTACAGCTCATGCCTATAATCCCAGCACTCTGGGAGGTCAAAGCGGGAGGATTGCTGGAGGCCAGGAGTTCAAAACCAGCCTGGGCAATATAGCAACACCCTGTCTCTTAAAAAAAAAAAAAGTTAAAAATTCAGTGGATATGGTGAGGCATACCTGTCATCCTAGCTACTCAGGAGGCTGAGGCAGGAGGATCACTTGAGCCCAGGAGTTTCAGGCTGCAGAGAGTTATGATCAGCCTGGGCAACAGAGTAAGACTCTGTCTCTTTAAAAAAAAGTGGTATCAACAAATAACAACAAGGGATCTTTTTGCAAGGTGTGGTTCTGGTATATTTCTTCCAGTTAAAAAAATCTCCATCATCATCATCAATATTATATGTGATACTATGGTCTGAAAATGTGTGCAAGGCCCTCACTGCCAAATTCCTATTGAAACTAAATCACAAATATGATAGTATTAGGAGGTGGGGCTTTGAGAGATGATTAGGTCATGTGGGCAGGGCCCTAATGAATGGGACTAGCGCCCTTATGAAAGAGGCCTTAGACACAGCAACGGCCCCATCTAGGAACTAGACAGCAGACCCTCAGCAGACAGTCTGCAAAATAAATTTCTGTTGTTTATGAACTACCCAGTTTATGGTATTGTGTTATAGCAGGTCAAACAGACTAGGACATGTGACAAATAATGCAATGATTTAGTAGTGCTGGCACAGACCACCTTCGGAGCAGGTAACACACATCACATGTCACCTGCAATGCTGGCCTCTTTATGGTGTCAAGCAGGAGACCAGCTCTGGTAGCCACTGCAGGGTTGACATCCTCCACCGCCGTCAGGAAGCAGCAGAAGGCATGTGCCAGGGAGTACTTCAGCAGGTGGTTTTTGGTCACTGAGTGAATATCCAGAAATCTACAAATTACAGCCACTTTTTCCACTGCAACGTAAAAGAGAAGGCGAAATATGTAAATAAACACACACATACACGCACCACGCATACGCATTTATTTAGCCAGTCTGAGAACTGAACTCACAGAGAAAAAGTTAACTCTGGATCTCCCATATAGTTTACTTTAAACCCCAACAGGAAAGTCTAATGCCACCATCTCGAGTGTTCCATTTCATCCGTGCAGCACAGACTGTTTCTACTCAGAGCAGAACTTTTTCTTCCCACGCAGCCTTGTTCTAACTCTGGGTTGTCTTTTACATTTTTTTCATGGTCTTTCTCTTTGTTTAACTTTCAGCTATATTTCAAAATATTCCAAATGCCTCTATGCTTCTTTCTGTGGCCATTCCATAGAAGCTCTGCAGATAACAGAGAGAGGTAGGAGGTGCCCACCAATCCTGGCTCTGGGTTCGGGTCCCCCACTCTGCTCTTAGTAGGTCCTGGTATGAAATGGCAGACCAGATAGACATTTCCTGGGGCTATAGAAGCCGGGTATTTCTTCCATGCTGTAAATATACCCTTACTTCATAGATTTCTAATCATTCTGCAAATCAGTGTTAAACAGTTCCAGCCACTCTTAAAGCATGGCTTTATAAAAAGTTACAATAGCTAGTAAAGCAATATAGTGCAATGCAAAGTAAGATGTTTCCATATTTTGCTTAAGCTGTTGCGACAGCCTAGAATATTATTTTGTTTGTTTGTTTGTTTTGTTTTGCTTTTTTGAGAAGGAGTCCCCAACTCTGTTGCCCAGGCTGGAGTACAGTGGCACGATTTCAGCTCACTGCAATCTCTGTCTCCTGGGTTCAAGCGATTCTCATGTCTCAGTCTCCCAAGTAGCTGGGACTACAGGCAGGCACCACTATGCCCAGATAACTTTAGTATTTTTAGTAGAGACGGGGGTTTCACCATGCTGGCCAGGCTGGTCTCGAACTCCTGACCTCAAGAGATCTGCCCACCTTGGCCTCCCAAAGTGCTGGGATTACAGGCATGAGCCACCACACCTGGCCCACAATATTCTTTCTATTGACATTCTACCATCCTTAGAGAATCTCTGCTGATATTCTGTTTTGTAAAGTCTTCTCTGATCTCCTAGAGAGACCTTTCCATCCCATGAACTCCTGTAAAAGTACTACTTATTTGCATATCATTAATTTACATATAGCATTTGTATGCTCAGAATATGAGCTATCTACGAACACAATATGTGTTCATTATATGACATATTTTCTTTTGTGGTCTTGATTATATTTATGCCTTTTATAATTTGCCAACCTCTTACATGCTTATGTTTGGTCTCATCAATTAAACTGGAAGCCTCCTGAGGACAGCAATCTGCTCTTACACTTCTTTCTATTGTTCCCATAGCACTTAGCACATATCTAATTTATTCAACAAATTCACTGATTCGCTTATTTAAAAAAAAAAAAATATATATATATATACACATATTAAGCACACATATGTATACCACTAAGAAAATATCTTAGGCACTTGGGAGGAGATAGAAGTAAACGGAAAGAGGAGTCATTCATAACTCTTGACTTCAAAGTTAAATTGACTAAAATAGATAAGACATGTACAACTATAACTAAAATGTAACTTTAGAAAACCTGTAAATCCCTCCAGTGTGGTATAAATAAAATGCTATGGGAGATCTAGGGATACAGAAACCACTCTCCACAGGTGGAACCTAGAAGGTGGACCTCAATGGTGGCATTTGAAGGTGGATCACGTGGAGGTGGCATTTGTGTAGGGCCTTAAGGAAAAAGAATGAAAGGTGGAGAGCCCAGAATGGCCCTTGCGTGGATGAAGGGAGGCAGGAAGCAATGGGAACACAGTAACGGTGTGTGTAGAAAAGCACAGGAAATGAGGCTGTCTGCAGTCGCAGTCAGACCATTTGAATGGCAGTTTAAGGAGTCTGAACTTTATTCTCTAGGCACTGAAAAAACTCCATTAAAATTTCTTGAATAGAAAAGTAACATGATCTTGGCCAGGTGCAGTGGCTCATGCCTATAATCTCAGCACTTTAGGAGGTCGAGGCAGGCGGATCATCTGAGGTCAGGAGTTCAAGACCAGCCTGGCCAACATGGCAAAACCCCATCTCTACTAAAAATACAAAAATTAGCTGGGTGTGGTGGCGGGTGCCTGTAGTCCCAGCTGCTCAGGAGGCTGAGGCAAGAGAATCGCTCAAACCCGGGAGGCAGAGGTTGCAGTGAGCCGAGATCATGCCAATGCATTCCAGCTTGGGCAACAGAGCAAGACTCCATCTCAAAACAAACAAACAAATAAACAAACAAAAAAAAAAAAAGGAAAGAAAGAAAAGTAACTTAACCAGAGCCAAGATTCAGAAAATTAATCCTAATCCCCCACAACATGATGTGCTATCATATATATACACTAGCCCCTGAGATTCCTGTGGGCATTAAAAAGTAAGAACTTTTTGAAGTGGCCATATATTAAGGAACTGAACTAAAGGTATAATAGTTACCTCACTGATGAAACTTCCATTTTTGTGCCAAACTTTTGAGACATCAACCTACAGAACTGTTCTGAGAAGCTGCACTGTGGCATGCCAACCCTGCCTACTACCCCGAGAATAGAACTACTAGCAGATTGGGGTGACAGCGGGCCAGCAGACATGAGGCTAAGAGAACCCTTCCAGGTTCCTTCCTTACCACATTACTCTGATAACTTGCTGCTCTATTTACTAGGAAATTACATCCAAGCTGCACCAGACTTGGTCCCTGATCCCTCAGTGGCAAGGGTATACAGCAGAGATTCTCGAACCTCTTATTAAAAATCTCAATTTCTGCCCCGGCACAGTGGCTCATGTCCATAATCCCAACACTTTGGGAGGCCAAGGTGGGCAGATCACCTGAGGTCAGGAGTTCACGACCAGCCTGGTCAACATGGTGAAACCTTGTCTCTACTAAAAATTAAAAAATTAGCCTGGTGTGGTTGCATGCACCTGTAGTCCCAGCTACTTGGGAGGCTGAGGCACGAGAATCACTTGAACTCAGGAGGCAGAGGTTGCAGTGAGCCGAGATCGTGCCACTGCACTTCAGCCTGGGTGACACAACAAGACTCTGTCTCAAAAAAAAAAAGAAAAAAAAATCTCAATTTCTGGCATCACCCCCGCCTCCCACTGAGATTCTGATTCAGTAGCTCTAGGATGTGGCCAGATAATGTGCATTTTAACAAATATTCCCAGTAACTCTGATGCAAGTAAACTCACAGGTTGACTGCATCCAAGCCAGTGCCTGTTTGGGAGTAAACATGGGTGCAGTTAATCGTTACACTTGGGTAACAGGCATAAGCTGGGTCTGTCCGACGCAAACCCGGACAGGACCACCCTCCCTAAGGACAACTCTGCAAAATGCTGTTATTTTAGAGAGGAAGCTCAAAGCAGAACCCCCAAAGGAGATCAGCAAACGGGAGAATGCCTTTTAAAAAGAAAGGACAAGAAAGAAGGTGCCCCAAAAGAGACCGTGACAAAAAAGATGTGTACCGTGTGACCCAGAATGAATTTTAAGCTAACACCGAGGTACCTGCTTCAAACCTCATCTTCCAGTCTTTGCTGTTGAAATTGCCATTTATGATTGTCCAGAAGATGTCAGCACCATGAGGAAGTGACAGGGCATGGAGGAGAAGAGGAACTGCCAGTGAGGACAGCTGAGAGAACTCGGATTTGACGACCCTCCACAGGCTAGGGAATCAAGGAGAAGCAAAGTGGTGACAGTTATCACAACCTTTCCAAAGAAAGATCCTGTCCTCTTAATTTACGGCAAGCATAGTTACTAGGCGGTGGGTAGGGGTGCTTTTGGTGAAATTACACTCATCCACGAGAGGATTATCCTCTGATAGACGTTTCCTATGCTCTGTCCTCTTAACGTGACACTAGAGAAAAACACTTCTACTTAACATTACATTTTACAACTTAAAAATCTGCATAATGTAAATTCAGTAATATAAGTGAACAATATAAATAAATGACTGTTCAGTAATAAACAAAGTCAAAATTAGTTATGTTAGGATGATGGAGTAATACGTGATTTTTAAACATTTTCTTACAGTGGGCATCTGGGAAGTTTGGTTGGTTTGGCCTGCCCAGCCTCTTATGATGTCAAAGAACAACTCTTTTTCTCTTAATAACAGCCTCTCCAAGAAAGACAGTTCATCAGTCAAGCTCCCCAACCTTCTCTATCACAAGGGGGAATACAAACAGGCTGATCAACGAACGTCAACACCCTGAATAAAGTGATTAGCTAGGAGAAGGCATATGACCGAAGCATGGGAATAATTGAACACTTATTTCAGGGACTGATACGCACTCTGGGAGAGAGAGGCTCTCTCTCCTTCTGAAATCTCAGGAACAAAGGGCAATGTCAGCCTGCAGCTGCCAATCACCCTCCTTCCCATCTCACAGGGACAGCCTGCACTTAACCGAGAAGCCAACACTTAGTTCCATTCCAGAAGCCAAGCCAGAGCTGGGCTGAGAGATGGGGAGGGACTGAGAAAGGGGAGGAGGAAAAGACAGAGAAGGAGATCCCTGACAACATCTTGCACCTTAGCAGTTTCAGCTGAGTTTCTATCAAGTTCTACAGGAATAATTCTGAATATAATATATTTTAGTAATAATACATTATTGTTTCCATTTTTTTCAATTATTTAAAGTATGCCTTTTGGTTGTTTTTGTTGTTGTTTAGTTTTGTTTTCTATTTGACTCCAGAGTCAATATCAGAATCAAAACTACAGTTGACCCTTGAACAACACAGGTTTGAACTGTACGTACAGGTCCACTTACACATGGATTGTTTTCAATAAACATATTGAATTTTTTAGGAGATTTGCAACAATTTTAAAAAGTTCACAGATGTACCATGTAGCCTAAAAATAGTGAAAAAATTTAATGAAAATTTATGTCGGCCGGGCGTGGTGGCTCACGCCTGTAATCCCAGCACTTTGGGAGGCCGAGGCGGATGAATCACGAG